TCTACGTCTAGCGCGATAGAAGACGTAATAAGGATTCGCAACTACTTAAACGACAGATAATTGGTATAAAGCGATCTGAGATATAACTTTGTTACGCCGTCGAGGTTGAGAACAAGCGCGTTATATTATCCAATAATTTAGCGGAATTAAATTTAAAATTTAATTAATTTTAACTGATTTTTAAATGAATATAATTATTTTTTTAATTAATATTAATTAATTAATTGAAAAAAAACGAGCAAATAAGTTTTAATTATTTCGAAGATATGTAAATACTTGCTTTTCTTAATTATCACTCTTTGCAAAATATGAAGGAGACAAGATATTGTAAGTTATCTCAGTTTTATTCATTCCAGATAATTTTTAAATGCTTTTATATATTTACTCTATTTTAGAAAATTAACATGTGAAAACGAAAAAATCTATTTTCAATTCTTCTTTATTGGATTGGATTTATTGGATTTACTGGATTGTTTTATAAATATAAAACTGATATGTAATTATTATCATAAAGGATATATTTTATCACCACTTTAGATTTGTTTACGGAAAAGATAGAAGTAGAAAATAGAATTTATTTTTATTTGTCCACTCACAAATACACGCACATTTACTATCCAATACAATTTTTTGTAACATACGCATTTAGTCTAATTTCTGTCTCACTTCATCACTTTAATAAAACGTTTATGCAGATGAGGGAGCAGGATGCAGGATGAGCTATTTTTAATGTGGACCGGGGACAAAGTCCGAAGGGTTTATTCGATGGGTGCGATTGCCCGACGCGTTAATGGTTTTTATTCCCGGTCTATTTTTATCCACTTTTCGCGCCACGTAGCTTCAACAACGACCAGATGCGTTTATCGGTCGTCAGTGTGTTATTACGAGCGATCGCGAATTTCGCCAGCGAAATGCACGCGTCTGGCGCCTCGTTGAATTTTCCCCGCGAAATCTTTTTCCTGAGGGAAAGTAGAACGCGAGAGTACAAAATATGCGATTAATATGATCATAGTTTCTACAGTTCAACCCTTCTATATATCTTTAAATATCTTTTTATTTTTCTATATATCTTTAAATATCTTTTTATTTTTATCTTAATATTGTTGGTGAAAAAGATTGATACAATTGTTATATTTATTTAAATTTCGGCTAGATGGATGATCACATTTTTTATCTCGGGATTAAGCTCGACTTTTTGTTTGAGTTTGGCATCGCCCGCGCGACATGATAAAGCACTCTATTATAAATCAATATCAGTCTTACATCATCGGTCGCATCATCGTTCACTTGGCAGGCTGCTCTTCGCAAGGAACTAACAGTCATCGTAAATCACAACGAACGACCGCGGAACAAAATGTTGACGTTCTCTTTGGTCCGTTAAAGTCACGCGCGGAAAATTGCGCATATAAAAATATTTGCAACCGCGTTCTTAGACGCCGGTTCTTGTGTTTAAATTTTTCATACTGTCCGCTAGCGAATTGGCACCGAATGGCTATTTAAGTTTAAATGTTCCGTATCGCTCGTTCTCATCGTTTTTCATTACGAGGCTTTTATCACACCTATTTCGTTCGACATTGCCAACAATGCAAGTTTGTACATCTGTTTATAAGAGACTTAACCATCCGGGATAGATTGTCTCTACGTTTTTTAAATTATTGTCAGGAATTTACTTCCCAGAATTGGTGCTCGTCACTGGTTAAATTCAGACTTTACTTCGATTATGATATCATTAATTCTTATTTTTTTTATCAAGAATTATCAAACAATTATTTTATAATAACTTGAAAGTTATGTATCATTAATTGTATGTATTACAGAGATATAATAAAAAGTTTTGAATTATATTTTCAAAAAATAAAAGAAATAATATTCTCAAAATTATCAGCCGTAAAGTTTGTCAAGAATTTTTTGAAGTAACATTATAAAGTACATATCGTTTAAGAGAAATTCCCTTATATTTACATATTGTTCAAGAGAAATTCCCTTATATTTTTATAATACAATTATTTACAATTACAAATTACATAAATTTTTATTCATTTTTTATTTAGATAGATCTCATTTTTGATTACTTATTATATGCTTTTAATATTTGATTCATTTATGATGTGTCTATATTATATCTATATATCTATATATCTATATATATCTATATTTATATCTCTATTTATATCTATATATATCTATATTTAATATCTAAAAGTATCGATACATTGTTAAATTTAAACGTCTTTAGCTGATCATACGTTTCTGTCTGATTCACTTTTGCAAGAATAGCGAAGTTGCTACTTTTACATGAAATATTTTATTATATAATTTAAACAGCAATAAATATTTTGTGATGTTCGAATAATGTTCGTGTTCTCGACTCTTCACGATGAAATCCAACCAGGAATATACGAATAAATAATCGCATGTCTAATATGTCGCATAAACTAGCCAAATGCAATACATTCATCTTGTTCATCATTTTTAATTCCTAACGTAATCGCGCATTGTAGATAGATACGTCAAGAGCCATTAATTCTGCAACTTGATGTGCATCTCACAATTAATTGAAATGTCTTCGTCGAAATGTCATTGCCAAGTTATTTATTCCTCAAAAAATTATTTATTGCTAGATAAATTTAATATCGATTATTCTAAAAGAGTAAAATTTATTTTCACATATATCCGTTAAAATTATTATAAACTCTTCTTTAATAAATGCGATCACAATTAAAAAACCACTATTAAAAATTGCATAATTATTTATATATATAATAAAATAAATTGAGAAAGTTATTTTTTTTAACTTGGAAAATTGTACAAAACGGGAGAGAATATTATTTTAATATTAATTTATTATTATTTATAATATAATTATATTTATAATAATTAATATTAATGTTATCAATAATAGCCGTGACTACAAATCAGAATAATACATTATTTATTGTTCTTAATGATTATTAATTCAAAAAAATATATTTTCTTAGGAAAATCATTATAACTTTATACATACTACTAATTTCATTAAAAAATTACATTATTATATTGTTATATCTCACCCTTATTTATTCCAATTTGCGAAAGAATGCAATAAGCATTATAATTATTGTTATTTATTGTTCATAATCGAATACGTTCATGATCGAATACGTTCCTTAATTGTTCATTTGGGAAATTCCATAGGCAACACGAAAAGAACTCGGACGAACTTTCGAGCGCCGAAAACGCAGTGCGTGCGCCACACACGATTTGATGAAAATCCGGGTCCGTGTACTCCGTTCTAAAGATGTATTGGAGAAGTGTAAGAAGGGTAGGCTATTTCTGGTCGTGGGAGCCGAGAGAGACTCGTCGTGCAAACCGCTCTTAGCCACTTCGTACATCGAGAGTAGTCTCGCTTTCGCCGCGTATCGCCGATACACTTTTCTCGGGGGAGCGCATCTCGCGAAAAGTCGAACGATGTAATCGATAATAATGTTTAAAACTATTTAATCAGCAAATCGTACGAACGAATCCAACGGTAAACCGGCGAAGTGATCAAATGGAAATAACGAGAAATAAGCACATCCGATTGGATTGGAACGGGAGTCAAATGATATCACGCGGTTGATTTTGATACATATTATAATAAGAATAAACATTCGTAATAGAAAACAATTTTTTATTTTTAACAAAGAAACAATAAGTTAAAAATTGTCTCATAAAACAATATACACAAAGAAATTTAAAAAAAATATTGAAGAACTTTCATACACACACATTTCAAGAGATTGGTTGCTGTTGAAAAATTGAAAAAATTTTTCTCGCAAATATTAAAAAACAAGTTGGTTGTTTTATCTAAATAAAAACTTGTGTCTTTTCTATTACGTTAAACAATGTATAATCGCATATGTACACACTATTGATGAATATTTCAGTGAAAGTGAGAAATTATAAAACAAGGATTTATAACATACACAAAGTATTTTTCTCAAGCTTGTAAATATTACAAGTTAGAGCGCGAAACCAATGCAATGTCTATAATTGACACATATGCGAAATATTAAGCATTCGAAAAGTAAAATGTCAAATGGTTAAATATGCTTTGGAAAGAGAATAAATAATTTTGAACGCATATAATCTTGACAGTAAGACAAATTTCTTGATGCGACGAAGAAAATAAGTTTTCATCACTTCATTGTAATAACTATAATAAAAAATTATTCTGAAAAAATTTGTGTAATTAAAAATTATGAAAAAGATACGCTGTGATATATCAGTAAAATTAATCATAATATAATAAGATACATATTCAAACGAACTAAATTTTTATTATTTTTATTAATCGTTATTATTAATAATCTTTATAAATATATAAAAATACGTAATCAAGTTCCTCCGTCAATTTAATACGACATATAATGAGAAATTAAGTAGTGTGCTGATTTCTGAATTACATATTTTGTTTGGAAGAGGAAAGAAGAGATCGTGTGCATAAGAAATTATACGCATCGAGACACGTGCAGCATAAATGAATCGACGAAAGACGTCGAGACGAAGCTTAATGGGGGTGAGACGACGACGCGTGCGAATGATCGAATGCGCGAATTCGCGATTCCCGTTGTCGAGATGCCAAGTTTCGAGTTAATGTTCATTTATTCACCTCACCGGCATAACGGTTTTATAGACGATGCGAGCATAAACAATACAATTGGGCATTAATCGTGAAGTAGAAAGCGGTACAGATCAATCTTTGTTCTGTGAAACGAGCTTTCGCAGTGCGTTTTTAAAATCAATCATTCATCCGATCCGCGAATTCGTATTCAGATAAATCTAGATCACTCGAGATCTCAGAATATCTATCATTTCATTTACTCGCGGTCTCAATCAACTTTCGCTGTAGCCGATTCTACGATTATAAAGGCCTTTGAGAGATTCTGAAGCATCATTACACTGAATGTAATGTAATGTAGCGTAAAAATATTTGAAGGATCTACATAATCTTATAGAATTTTAACGTCTTCAACATAATGAAGAATCATCAATAATCTACTGTTATAATCGATCCACAAAACCAACAAGGCTCATAGCAATGACTTTATCAATATTGAACATCGAATGATCATCTCGGAGGTGGACAATGTCCTTCTGCAGAGTTACGGGTAATAGCCGGGGTCTTCCCAGGCCGAATTATTTTCCGCTCTTACCCCCGATAAGTCCAGCGGATGCGAAGAGATTCTGCCGCATCACTGGTAAATCCTACGGCCTACCGACACATCATTACATTCCGGTGTTGCTGGGCGCCCACGCCCACGACAAATCGAAATGCAAGATCACGACGAACTCTTCGGGCCTCGGGCCACATCACTATACTGCCGGTTTGATCGTCGGCGAGAAGAAGAAGCATGTAGTGCTCAAGGATTACCGCTACGTCTTCCCGATCTTGGAAGGCGAAGGCGAGCAGCAGCGCGTGTTGAGGGAGCTCCTGAACGCGAAACAGACTCCCATCGAGGAGGAAGAAAAGTTTGTGTACACGGTAGAGGAACGAAGATGCAGTCTAGTATTCCCGGCGAAGTTGGAAGCCGCTGTTAGGGATGGGGATGTCAAGGACGTCATGCTCTCGCGGGATTGCGACACCGTTTTGCTGAGGCTGAAGCAGGGCAAAAACGTGTCGGTGGATTTCAAGAACTTGGAAGACTTTGAGAATCTTTATGACGGATTGGGACCGAGAGAGGAAGTGCTGAAGGAGCGAGAAAGGCTGGAGGCCGAGGCTAAAAAGAGAAAGAGAAAGAAGCAGACCGCGTTGAATTATGCGAAGAGGATTTTTGAGGAAAAGGAGAAAGCGGCCGACGAGGAGGAGCTTCGGCGTGCCAAGCAGCTCAAGTTAAGGAGTATCAAGGAGGAGATTAAAATGGAGACAATAACGGAAAATTGGAGACAGGTGGATGTGGAACAAGCGAGACTTCAGTCTTCTGACATCGTGAATATTTCGAATGCTCTCAAGGACATAGCAAAACCGATCTCCAATGTGTTAGATTGTAACTTATTGCAAAACAACACGACTAAACCAGCCAACCTGCCGATGATAAAAAATATACCAGTTCCTATAAACGTCGAGCCGCAGATTGTAGATCGAGAACCGATTCTGTACAGCCCCATATTCGAATCTGTAGGAGGTTTTGAGGCAGTCGCGATCACGAAACCTTTAACACCTTTGATTGCGAAATCAGACGCGACGCTGCAAAGTGCTATTCGGAATATCTCGCAAGATCATCTTGAAGAGAGCGCAAACATAACGGAAAAGCTTCTTGAGGCTGGAGAACCAGCATTGGAATGCCTACCACGAATGGAAGAGATTCCCGAATTGGTACAGAATCTGCCAACCGGTAAGAAAAGTACGATACACAATGTCAAGGGTCTCAAATTGGATATCAAATCGACGGAAAGATTTGTCACGGGCCAAACCGTACAGACGCCATCGGGCGCTATCTTTGTACCCGGTCAGACCCTGCAGACACCTCAAGGTCCCGCTTTTGTGCCTGGACTTACTCTCAATACGCCCGATGGACCTCTTCTAATTCCTGGACAAATCATTGCTGTTCAAGAACCAGACGGAGCAAAAACGCCAATATTCGTTGCTGGGCAGACTTTGACAACGGAGCAAGGCGAACGTTTCGTTCAAGGTCAAACGTTTCATACAAGCGAGGGCACGAAGTTCATCGAAGGCCAGACTGTTCTAACGGAGGAAGGCCCGAAATTTGTGGCCGGTCAAGTAACGACAGACGGAACTTTTATCGCGGGACAAACCGTAATTACTCCGGAGGGAGACCGATTCATGGCAGGCCAAACCGTCACAGATTACCATGGTGAATTAGTTTTCGTACCGGGACAGAATGTCCGTATCAACGACAAATATGAATTTGTGCCTGGTCAATGCATCGAATCGCCGAACGGCGAACCTAAATTTGTCCCTGGACAGACGTTGCTAACAACCGAAGGCCCGCGATTCGTCCCTGGACAATATATTACTACAAAATCAGACGAGAAGCATTTTGTACCAGGTATCGTCAAGAGCACGGAAAATACATCGACATTTGTGCCAGGAATGACACTGGACACTTTGAAAGGTCAGAAGTTCGTTGAAGGACAAGTGCTGAAAACTCCAGAAAACATAATTTTCTGTCCGGGACAGACTGTCGTCAGCGAAAAGGGCTTTGACTTTGTCGCGGCAACCAAATTCGACGAAGTAATCTTTCAAGATGCTGGTCCCGTTGGCATACCGATAGATCCAAGAAGCACAAATGCGATATCGAGTCTTCAACAGCGTGAGATCTTCGGTCACATGGTGCAGATGGAAAAAGGCATCGAATTTTTCCCGGAAAACATGAAGAAGTTACCAGAGGGCAGAAAAATCGTGCCGGGCCAATTAGTCAGCGGCGACAAAGATGGACCGCGTTTCGTGCCGGGTGTCATGACCGAGGATGGCTTCTTACCAGGTCAGATAGTCACAACAGAGAAAGGGGAGGAGTTTGTGCCAGGCCAGGTGATTGACACCAGCAGTGGGCCAAAATTCGTGCCTGGCCAGATAATAGAAACCCGAGTGGGGCCCAAGTTTGTGCCTGGTCAAACGGTGAAGACGGTGGATGGGCCGCGTTTCGTGCCGGGCCAGATCGTTGATACTAAAGTCGGACCAACATTTATCCCCGGTCAAGTGATCTATACCGAGGAGGAAGGATCCAGATTCGTGCCGGGACAAGTGGTGGACACGCCGGAGGGGCCCAGATTCGTGCCAGGTCGTGTAGTGGAAGCGGGCGAGATGGGTGTGACCTTCGTACCAGGTCAGATCGTTCAGACAGAAGATGGCCCTTGTTTTGTTGCTCCCGATCTCATCGATACTCCCGAGGGCGAGCTGGAATTCTCTGTGCAGGGCTTCGAAGTCACGCCTGAAGAGTTGCAATTACTACGACCGCAGCATTTGAATTATAATCCACATTTTCGTCATCGCGGTGAGACCAGTATAGACTCTAAGATGCTACGCGAGCTATCCGAAGCAGGATTGTCTGTGGGACGGAAAGTCGCGACGAGCTTGCCGTCTGTAGACGTAAATGTAAATCCGAAGGCAGTGGAGAAGGCTCTCGTTGTGGCGAAGACGAAATTGAGTTTACAAGGTGGCACGGCAGTGAAGATGGCACAGATCGTGTCAATGGTCGCGCAACTGGCGAAAAATATAGTTGTGCAACAACAACAAGGAGAGTCAAATCCCGCAAATGCAATGCTAATCAATGGTATCCATTCGCCCGCTATAAAAGAAGAAAGGGTAAACGGAACGAACGGCATCGAACTTCTTCGAGAAGCGATAAAAGCGGCAATCACAGCAGCTGTCTTAATATTATCGGATGACCAACAAGTAGCAACATCAGATAACAACTCTCAAGATTTTGTTTATTCTTCCATTAGCGAGTCCTTCAACATATCGTTACGACAAAACAATCGAGATATCGATCGATCGATTGATGAAATTTTGAAAATTCTCTTAATCCCACAAAACCGTAGTTCTCTTTGCCAGAGTGTGTTGTCGGAACTGCTGATCGCTAAGAACAGTAAGGTTAATATACTCAAGTCAGCTATGAGTTCCGACCAGTCTTTGCAAAAGGACTCGATGATCAAGAAGCTGTCAATGGTTCTCGAAGAACATAACACGGATCTGATCGGATCGGCCTTTCGAACCGTTTCGAAGAACGATCCCGAATTGGTTTCGCTCGTTTTAGAGAATGTATCGCGACACGTGGCAGATGTTGCAACGGAAAAGGAAGCCACGGAGACGGTTTACAAAGCGATCATCCAGGCTGTCCGGGAGTCGAGCGAGATTCGCGTGAAGGAATTATTGAATGCCGAACGTGGATCGGATGTGCGCGAGATGCTGCTGCAGGCGGTGGGCCTTGCGCGGGCCCTTGGCATGTCCGACACGGCGAGTAGCCTGCTGGCTGTGATCAGTGATGAGAGATCTACCCAGGCGCTGGCGAACGACCGGGTCACCATGGACGTGTTGAAGAGGCTGGCGATTATGAGGAGGCTCGCGGAGGAACGGCCTCCCTTTATGAACGCCCTCGGACAATTGTACAGCGATCCCGAGCTGGCTAGAACGGACCCGCGACTGCGAACCCTCGTAAGAGAAAGCGCCGCGCTAATGATTGTACCCGAAGAGGCCCCGTTGCAATCCTCGGTCGACGTGCCCACCGCATTGTTGCACGCTGACAACAGTCTGGCGATGGAGGAGTTCCTGCTGAGAAGGAATCATAAGCCATCATCCATCTTCATGATTCTGAAGCAGGGCTTTCAAGCGGTCGTACCTCGAGAAGCATCTCGATCGGTACTGACCGGTGAAGTAGCTTACACTGTTCTCGACGAGGACGGTATACATCATTTCGAGCCGTTGCACGTGTTCTCGGCACTTAGACTGAATCGCCCGACTGCCCATCGGTTTTCCATGTATTGCTGTCCGATGGCAAAGGAAATAGATACAGACGGTGAGGTGGTGTCCGTCACGTTCACCGGTACGACCTCGATTGCTAGTAGCTTAGACGGTTCTGCCAATGGTAGCTCCCACAAACAAGAGAACGGCATCGCAATCTTGTCGAGGTCCGAACAGTCGGTCGCTCTTCTCTCGCTCAGCAGAGAGAATACGCCGAGTCTAAAGAGGCTGAACGGCGCTCGACAAAAGGACAGCCTCGAGCGGGTAAAGTATAAAAAGACTGGAGGACGCATACAATTATTGATATTTATAAATCTTTCACTGAAATTATTTTATTTCACCTTAAAACTAGTAATAGCTTTAATGTGAAATAAAATAATTACAGAAAAAATTAATACATTAATAATCCATACTGATAATGAATTAAATAAGATGAAATATACAAGTATATATTTTATGATGTCGAGACGTAATAATATCACATGTTAATGATATGAAATATCTGTAACTTAGAGCAGTAAAAATAATAACACGGGCAGAAGTTTGCAGAAATTTGTATATTCAGAGAAATTTCGATTTATTTAATAATGATTTACTAAATCCAATTTCGTAATATTTAAGATTTCCGCCGAATAATTCTGTCAGCACTGGATAGTTTCAAAATCTGTCTACTCTGGTTACAACTCTCTCTCTCTCTCTCTCTCTCTCTCTCTCTCTCGTATTCTATAATTCATAAAATAGATTCTATAATTCATAAATTAAAAAGTTTTATTTAAAAATGCGTTAAAAAAATGTCACGTAGCACTGTTCGTTCTTTTATTTATGCTACTGTATTTTCGTTCGCAGGGATCCACGGAAAATTACGTGGTCGTGAAGGACTACTTGGCGGACACCGACGGACTCTCCGTGCACGTCGGCGACATCGTCGAAGCCATCGAGCATGACGGTTCAGCGAAGTAAGCAATTTTTAGTTCAAGGATATATGAAACATTTAAAAAAAAAAAAAAAAAACTGAAGACAGCGCTTCTCGAGACGCGTATTGTCAACGCGCTGCCTTTATATCGTACACGTGGGTGGCGGCTGCGCGTGGAATAAAATCCACCGTGTGATTAAAAATAGCTCACGCGACTCACCCGCACACACGTGCACTCGCGTCCGCATCGCGCTCAGCGCGCTTCGATGCGCCGGATAATGATTGCGGTCCAGGCTGTTTATCACCGATATCTTCGGGATCTCGGCTCTCAGACGCGGAAGCGATAGAGCCGAGAGATTGATCGAACGAACGCATTTATGGCCAACAGGTGCGCCTCGCCATTAAACTGACGCCGGCTCAACGTCGTCGCGAGAGCGTGCGCAAATAATGTTAAGTCCTGAACGCGGTCACTGTTCATGCATGATAAACCGCGGTCGCACCTATTCGGGGTGGCGAACTTAACTACGGTCAAGTCAATCCGGATGTCAAACTGGCGCGAGGATCATTGCCCTGGTAGCTGCGGGGCTGGCTTCTTCGCTTTCTGTTTAAACACCCGCCTGAGGCTATTTCTACGTCGCACGGTGGTTGCATTGGCATTCGGCGTGTCATGTCTTGCGCGTTGCGTGGAATTGATGAAAACAGACGGAGAATTTGCGTGAAATTTACGACGGCATAAAGACTTGGCGGTATTATGTAAGAAAGTTGGCGGCCGCAAACAGCCTGCTCGTACGTGTGAATAATCCTCGAATGTCCGGGGATGAGAGCCTCGTGAAGAGGCCACCGCTAAATCGTGTTAGAATTTAAGGAATAAAGTGATGTAACAGCGGAGAAACGCCTTGTACAAATGTGTACTGTGAAGGCTACGCCTTGCTATTAGATGTCGCAAAATTAGCACAGCACATGGCTTTCAGAGCTATATCCGTAAAATTAACAAGATGGAACAGCATGCTGCGAACGGCACTCTCATGCTATCACAACGCTTGCAAAACGTCAGCTCTGCTTTAATCGCTTTGCACGTTCCAGAGTCACTAGTTGACTCTGATAACAGTGATGTCAAGTAACAAATAAGTGAGACATTCTGTAAAAACATGCAGTACGATGGCGCATATGCTACATAATATTAATATAACATCAAGACTGTATTTTTTAATATAACATCAAGACTGTATTTTTTTTCCACAAACTTTCTTTCGTGACAACGCGAGTCGACGAAGCTCTACAAAAGATGCTTCGCATTGTTGTAGGAAAGCGAAGATGGACCCCGATCTGGAGGTCGAGGTCGGCGATATCCTGGATAATTCGGCCGCAAAACACAAGCTGTCGATCCGTCCACGTCGAAATCACGCGGATCCGCGAGCTCGAAGCAGCCCGAGTATCGAATTGGACTCGAGCCTTCAAAGGTAAAATCTTGAACGTTGCTTGGAATTGATGAAAACAGACGGTCTTGAGATTCGAAATAGCGACGTGAACTTTTTATTTTTTTTTACCTCGGAAAACGTCCGAGACGACGAAGGACGATTACCAAGTCCGTTAATTTTACTGTCGAAAGCGTGAATTACTTTTCTTTGACGTACGATGTTTCATCACGCTCTCGTAACAAAGTCCGTCCGACTTAAAATAGAATAACTGAGGCTGCGACATTAATTTCTCCTCAGCAACACGTCATCGTCAACTTCCCGTTGCTGTAGGATTCGTCGTCATCGCTAAAATCGTTGACGTCTTCGGTCTGGTACATGCAATGATGATACCTTAACTTTGACAAGAAATATGTATCTTGTAAATCTTCGAGAGGAATGAATACAGATTTATTCCGATAAATTATGGATAATGACTTGATTGAAATCAGAGTTTATCATTTGAAAAAGACTTATTGATATATTAAAATATATTACATATATATATCAATTATAGTAACACACATTGAAAAAGAAGAAAGGATAAAAAAAGAAAAACCTGTGATATTTTTATAGATAAATGTATGATTCATCGTTTTCAAAAGCTATCTACATTCATATTTGAAGTTTAGCGAAATCATCAGATATATCACATGTACTGCATGACTAATAAGAGCAAAATGGCCGCGACGAGGATGCTCTTACTAGATTTAACGTATGAGAATTATAGTAAACTTTACATTATATAAATTGAATATTTTTAGCGAAAATATTTATGGTAAATAAAATTTAAAGTTCAAAGAGATAAATTATTTATACGAAGAATGATGCAAAATAAATATCTCTTTGTAGCTGTGTCGGATTTGTTGGCGTAAATTTAAATAGAGAATAGTTAAACGAATACTCCTACGATAATTCCCGTTTTATAATCGTTTAAGTAACGATAGAAGGGACGAAAGCGGTCCAAAGTTACATAGTCGCATTAAGCATGAATTTGGACTTAAATGCAATTTCGAAATAAACATTCAACACGTTTGAATTACGGCGACGCTAATGAAGATTAAGCATTTATACACGTCCAAGGCAATAATATCTCGCGCGCGATCATATCTCTGCGTGATTGGCGGTCGGCCAGAGTGTCAGCAAAACTGATAGTGCATAAGTTATTGCTAAAAAAGAATCTTTTCGAATGTCAGGAAGACGCCCGGGTATGAAACATCTGGTGTTTTGCGTTAGAAATCTTCTATCATGCTGTCGATTATTGAACGGAAATAATATTCCTTAATTTCTATGAATCATCATCATTAGTTGTGATCGTCTTTGAATCAGTGGAAGAAAAAATAAGTTGCATTTCCGGAAACAAAAAAAAAGCAAAATTTATTTTTAATTGTCCAACGTTTTATTTCGATTTTAATATTTATGAGGCTCTTGCCTTAAATGATGTATATGTGATACGCAGAAAAATATTGTATAAATGTCGCGTGTAATAATAAAGCTTATCACGTGTAGCAATTCGGACATATTCGCCAGAAAATTTTGCGTTTTGTGAATGGACGATGACTTCGATGACAAGATGGCACGCAGTCTTAGTCATTTCGCGTAAATATAACTGCGCGACTCCCACGCGCTCGAATGTCTTCTATCTATACCATCCCTTTCGATAGCATCCGATCTAGTCTGATCCAACTGTTAGACAAAGCTAATTTAAAAATAATGACAAAAATATCAAAATCTGTATAAAGAAGATATATTCTTAAGGAGAAAAAATATTTTTAATTTTTTTTAATAAGCTTTTAAATATTAAACATGTATAATCGCATAAAGATTATCCGAGATAAATGTGTCACTTCCAATAAAATATATGTAATTCTAGAAAATTTTTATATAATATATATATCTAATAAAATTTATTATTTTTAGGGTACACGTTCGTACATCCGACGGAAGGCAGGGATGGTTACCCATGTCCATTTTAATGCAAACAGCACTCAGCGAAGAAAGTTCATCAATGAGTCGACCAGAAGATTCTCATTATCGACGAGAGTATGTATTTATTGATTTAATTCATAATTTCTTTTTTATGCTTAATATTTTTTATTTTTGAATTATGATTTTTTATTTTCATATCTCTCTCTCTCTCTCTCTCTCTTTTTCTGAAATATTTTCATCTTTAAATTAATCTTTAAATTATTCTATTATTTTTTAAATTTATATTTTATTTTATATTGCAAGCTTATAAGAGAATTACTTTCTTTAACTTTTAATCCTTTCATAATTATATTTTTTAAATACACATATGCTATATATGTAACTTTATATAGAGTATATTTAATAAATAAAAATATTTTTCTTTTTTTTACAGGGCTGTCGTGAAAGAATTAATCGAGACAGAAGAAGAATTCGGTAGGGATCTTCAGCTGGTCGTCGAACGTTACCTGAAGCCTCTCGACAATCCTAGTATTCCGCGGAGCATACGAGACAACAAAGAAATTATTTTCACTAATCTGAAACAAATAGCTGATTTTCATAACACGTATGTATTTAGAGCGTCCACTGATAGTAAAATAAATCAATACTGCAATACTGTTACACAAGTACATTTGTCAATACATTTCATAATACAACCAGTTAGACACCTTATACATTTTTTTCTACTAATTTTTACTTTATTTGTTGATGAAGGAATTAAAAAATATTAGATATAAAAGATAGATATTATAACTCTAGTAACTCTAAATAATAAATTTTATCGAATAATGTATTTTATTTCTCTTTTTGGACATATTTATAAATTATTTATAAATTATTTATTGAAATGTTGTTTATAAATGAGTACATAAGTACAATATTGAGAAACAATATTGGAGAAATATATGTAATGTATGGAGAAATATAAATAAGTTTTACAATATTGAGAAACAAATACAATATTGGAGAAATATATACACATAAAAATACACAAACTCTATTTATTACTTTGACATTATAATTGGTTTCTCAATTTAAAAAAATTGGCATTAAAATTGGTAAAGATTGTTACACGATCACACTACATACTCATACAATATACGCTGCACACACGATTTCTTTCGCTTTTAGCGGATTACGATGTATAAAGCGTAAGTTTACGTATCGAAACGTATTTTGTGTGATAGTGTGCTTCTTCGTACATGTGTTCCAAAAAATTAATCTGTATCTCTAAACTATTGCTTTCTAAAAGATTAATTATAGTGCCCTATTTAAATGTTAGATATGACTTTACGTGTAACAAATAAAATTTTATAAAGTCGTGCAAAAGCCTGAGATAAACGTAATGTTTGTCTAACTGTCACGAAAGAACATTACCATCACATTGTTAAGATATATGTTATTAGAAAAGTTAATTCTGTATTGACTATATTACTAACTAGGTCAACGTTACTCTATTAGCGCCCGTTAATGTTGATCTTGCTGTTTCACTCTGAGAGTTATATCAGATTGTAATTTTTTCATAAAAACCCATATAAGAGCCGTTCCCTTACATATCAGTAAATAATACTGATAACCAAAGTATATCAATATTATCGTTTTCTCTGTTGCATTTAAATAAGATGTGTCGCACTCTAAAGATGACGCAGACTTCCATTCCGTAGCATGTTAGGCGTGGTGTGATTTTGGCATGATAATTAATTCCGGCCTTACTTAGATCGTTCGGCAGGGTGTTGATCGAGGGTGTCAAGTATTATGCGGATCAACCACGTATGCTCGGCAGAACTTTCTTAAGATTGGTAAGTTTCAATTTATATCGCCATTTATATAATTTTTATTGTTAAAATAATATTATGCTAATTTTCGCATTAATTAAGATTAGCAGTTTCTAAATAGCTATGTAAGCAATCGCATCTTCTTCTCTTAATTCCATATTTTTAAATTTAATTCAGTACTTGTATGAATATTAAGATTAAAAGGAGCTATTGTGCCTAAATAAAAAATAAAATAAGATATAACAGTTTCTAATCATTATTAAAGTAAATAATTATTTTAATCATAATTAATTAATTTTAAAATATCAATAATATTATATTAAAGAAGAAAATTTTGCATCATTTTTGAATTTTTACTAGATTAGACATCAAATCGTTTATCATATGACAAATATTAATTTTGTATAATGATGATGGCATAAACATGGTAATATATTTGAGTTAATAAAATTAGTTCCTTTCATAAAAGCAGTATTTATTTTTTGGACTATGCCAAAACATTATTACTGTTGACATTATTACAATATTTATTAGAAATATAATACATGATTGACATATTTCGTTTATAAAAAACAAAAAAATAGTGAGACTATCAATGAGATTTTTATTTTATTCAATCACTCGCAAAATATGATCTCTATCATGGAGTGAAAATAAAAACAAATAAAGTGATGCAAAACATTTCTTTAATGTATGCTGATTATACTTGTGAAAATATACAAAGTATAAGATGATTTTTTTTACGACTAAACTTCAAGATCATAACTCATGTTTGAATAGAGATATTGATTGCAATAAAATGTTATTCTATTCCAGGAGAGAGATTTTGACAAGCATGTGGCATACTGCAGGGACGAGCCAGCTGCTCAGGAATTTCTTCAGACAAACAACGAAGTACGCGAATACTTCGAGGTAAAAATCTTCTGTTTTATTATTATAATTGTGAAAAAATTAAGAAAATATTATATTTGAGCTATTACAATAATTTTTTCATATTTGTATTATTTTTTTATTATTTATATTAACAAATAAAACAATTGTCACTCTTAATAAAGGATTAATTACTAATTTTAAATTGAAATGAACTGAGACACAACATGTGATTTCAAGTCAGATTGAATTAATATTTATATTAAGATAAAATAAGACACTAATATGAATTTAAACATGCGAATTGTAACGAGTTGGCATTAACGATGTAAATATCAAATCGTGCTAAACTAATATTTCATCATTCCAAAAATATTCAAATACTTATGCAATTATAACGAATACATGTAAACAAAAAATAAAATATATATATAGGAACAAATCAAAATTCTATCTGTAAACTATAAAAATTAATATATAAATATCAAAATATTAAATATAATAAAATAAATATGTAAAAAGAAAATTAAATTATCCATTTAAAATTTAAATCTAAATACAATACAGTACTAAATATACGCTTTATATATAAAAAGATAAATTCAAATATCATAATAATAATTCTTTGATACACAAATAATATATCCAAAAACGTCATTATTGTAAATCCTACAATATTTATTTTATTTTTAATAAGTATCATACGCGAATTAAGAAGGTAAAATAAATAAAACCTTGTAATTTGTAAAATTTAGTGAAACGCATATTGCGAATTTTCTACGTAATTCCATGTTCGATCGCGACGGTATGAATTGGAGAAAATGATGTAATTATATAACGGACGGGGATATGCGGGCGTGTGTCCAGCCCTCAAAATAGCTGAGTTTATTCTTAACGAACGGAACATCTTTCGTTCGTCTTGCCTACGGTTGATAGTGCGAGATGCATACTATATGAAAAATGCGTTTTTATCAAAATTCAAGATGCAAAAGACAAATATTGTAACATGACATATTATACAGTGCTGTGATATCACAAAAAAGAATATTAAACGCAAAAAAAATAGAAATATTTTTCTCTTTAAAAATTTTTATATATTATTCTTAATGCGGCATAACTTATTATAATTTCTTTTTCAGACTTACTGTAATTTTTCTTTCAAATTTCTTATTTATTAGATAGAGAAATTATATTAGTTTTAAAAAATTATTAAAGAAAGAGAAAACTTTTCTAATCTTTTCTTTTTCTAATATTAATCAATTTAAGGAAGAATTAAAATTAAAAAATTGTTTCTTCCCTCTCTTTTCAAAAATAAAAAAAATTTACAGAATGCAGAAGAAGCGTGGATACAAAATAAGAATATCTGATATATCTAAAGATTATTTTATATTTTAAATGTCACAGAAGATTCGAGGAAATATCTTACTAATTAAAACTTTTATTTCATTAAAATTTAATGAAATAAAATTTAAATTAATGTTTACATTAAAATAATGTTTACCAGATATTCTTATTTTTTATCCACGCTTCTTCTGCATTTTGTAATTTTTTTTTTATTTTTGAAAGGAGAGGGGAGAAAAAATTTCCTAGGTAGCGTATAGAAGGTAACCGAAAGACGGCCGAAAGAAACCGGGATCCGGAGCCTAACCGAGGGTATCGACGATCCGCGCGATCTTCGTGTTGTTTTCGCGCGTGGTCAGTCGCACACGAAACCGTCCGGCGTCTAAGTATAGCCGTTGCCGTATCGGTCCTCCGAGTGTATTGCGAGAGATTCCTCCTCAGTATCGCGAACCACTGACCACACGTCGTATATGCGAGCAAGAATCCCCCCAGAATCCGATCGGGTGCCGATCGGGACTCCTGACGGACGCAGTTCGTCCGCGGCGATCAATACAACAAAATTCTCCGACCGATAGACCGGATATCCAAGTGTTTCCTTCAAGGTGCGCGTCTAAGAAAAGCCCGTTTTCCGCTCTCCAAACGTTGTCCTACTATCGAAGTCGCGAGGCGTCGCGATACGTCAATCGCGCGAACGTCACCCTCACATCTCCGATGACAACGCGCGCGCGCGCGCGCGTACGTGTGGGGGTGACGCACCCGCATATTACACACAAAATCCAGTCACACATCCAAAAATATAGTTGTTCTAGGCAGAACTCTCTAGTGTTGCTGCCGGTATCGAATTACGTTTCTTGTGGCGCGAATCGTCGTCGAAATATCTCGATCTTGCTTAAGAGAACGCGTTGCGATCGTTGTTTCTGGTAGACGTTTCTCTCCCTACGAGTGTCGATTTTTCTCTAATTGCTCTAATTGTGGCTTCCCGAATAGATATACGAAAATATCAGAGGTGTGCACGTGTTTGCGAGAAAGTTTCAAGTTTGAATTTGTGCGTTAAATTTATGGAAAGATTGTAAGCAGAATATCATAGCTTCTGTTACGCAGCCCTAGACACAAATATATGAGAATAGCAAAGAAATTTTTTACGGTTTCTAAAAGGAAATTAAAAATTAAAATTTTTTTGTATATAATTTATATACGTATACATTTTTTCCCAGCATTTTTATATATATTAAAAAAATAGACACTAACTATTCGTGCCATCGCTTCGTTTCTTGCAGGAATTGAGCCAGACTCTGGGCGACGACAAAAGTATATCGGAACATTTAAAGCTCCCGATACAACGTATAAACGATTACCAGCTCCTATTGAAGGTATGTCGTATGTTTTACTTTTCTTTTATTATCAAATCGTAATAAAAATAATATATTATACACATATCAATTTGTCGAGTTTGGGAAACATCCCAAAGAGGTCATTTTCGCGAAAGTGAATAATAAACAGAAAGCTATTTAAATGTAGCACACTCTTGATATTTTTTTTAGTCGATGAGATCAACCTAATGAGACAATCAGACAGTCGAATATACGTACATGAATTTACAGCACGACCTATATTTTCACGTAAATTTTATTGCGTCGGACGGAAATAGCGCGGCGCTAAAGCGCTTTCCACGTTGCCTTGAAATCATGTCTCCTCGACACATAATTGCCACTCATTCACTCGAAATATTTATAACAGATTAACAGAGACACCATCATTCGCGTCATTATAAATCATTTGATATAAATAAGAAAAAAATCTTTAAAGTATCGGTATAATATTTGTATCATAAATTTGATTGAATGGAAATTTCTATTTGCATGTGATTTTTAGATTAAAATGAATGCAAGAGTTCTAAAGTTCGCACTGAGAAAAATCGTTTGATTGTACCAACAAGATGTACCTGATAGAAAGCAAAGCATTTTAGTTAAACTAAGCAGAATTTCTAGTTATCACGATAAGACTCGATTTTTTATAATTAGAAAATTTAATAGACTTTATAAAGACTTTATTTGATTACATTTTCTAATTAACTTTTATATTTATATTATATTTTCTAGTTAATATCTAGGTAATATTTTCTAGTTGAATGTATAAAACGTCTTGTTATTAACTAAATATGGACATAGGGACGCCATTTTCTTTGTAAATGTGGTATTATTACCAAGAAAATTTGATAAATTTAACAAGAAAAAATTAATCATATTCATCTAATTTCTAAAGGAATTCTGATTCGTCCATTTTCCAAAAGACATATTGATTGAATCTAACAAATTTCTAATTAATGCAATCAGATTTTTTCTCAGTGCGGTTAGTTAAATAAAGTTAAATAAAGTTAAATAAAGTTAACTGACTACACAGACATTAAATTTTTCACGTACTTGCTCTTGCTTATTGTAATATTTTCCGAGCCAAGTAGATTAATTGTGTTAGCGTATGCATGCGGGCCAATTGCCCGGGAAAATGAGACGAGAAGAAGGCGACAACATTTGCAAATTTACATTGAAACAGGAATGTTTGGTAATTGATGCTCTTGGCTTGTACAATTATTGTTGATTCATATCGTTGCTACAGGTCGTCGTTGTAACAAGCGCAAGTTTTAAAATATTAGCATTATAGCTAGAAGTTTAAAATAATGCCGCACTTAATTATTACCTCGTTGGCATTAACAAGTTTATTAAATTTTCAGAACGGGAATACAATGATGTATTTTTTCTCGAAAACAAGTTCTTTTTGAATTCTTGCGATTCAAAGTTCTTTTATTTATAAATATTTTAAAATGTTTTTAAAATGTTTTCTTAAAATGTTATATATGTTAAAATGTTATATGTTAAAATGTTATTAAAATGTTACATATGTTAAAATGTTTATGATATTTTAAAATGTTTTTTTTTTTAATTCGGCCTCACAAATTTGCAAATACGTTTTAAGAAGAGATCGCGAACTTGTCGAGGAATGTAAAGTGGCATTCGATAAATCTGGACACTTCATATAAAAACGGCGCTATAGAGAACATTTTCGCGTTTGTGTACGAACGCGTAGGCGTTGTACGAATTTAGCGAGCTAAAAGCGCGTCGTCGCAATAGATTAACCTCCGGGAGAGCTGTGATTTTAATTTATGGAAAAATTCTGCGTAAATACGAGAGAGACAGACGTAATCGTGAAACATCGCAACGGTTAATAAGCGTGTCCAAGTACACAAGATACACAAGTACACAAGTTAATTCGGTCCAAGGATGAAAGTCGAATCGAGACGAATCTTATTTCGATCGGTTCCGGTCGTAAATATAAATTTCGCGCATAGAAATAAATCGATCGATGAATCGATCGTATTGTTCGCAGGAGCTGGTGAAGTATTCGACCCGATTAGGCGAAAACTGCGACGATCTACAAAAGGCATTGGAGTTGATGCTAGGAATCCCTCACAGGGCAACCGATAATAAATTTATAAGCAATATCGAAGGATACAAAGGGAATATTCACAAACTTGGTAGACTACTCACGCATGTAGGTACATTTGTGGTAAAAATATTGTAAGCAAAATAAGAGATAAGAAAGATAAAAAATAATTGAAAGGCATTTTCCTATTGTTTTTTGTTTCCTTATTTTCTGTACATATTTTTTTTATTTTTAATTATCTCTTTTATAATCAAAATATATAGATATGGATAAAATAAATTTCACTTATCAACTGATTGGATTGAATGAAAATTATGAAATTAATTTATGTTTTCAGGAATGGTACACAGTTATTGACAAGGAAGGAAAAAGCAAAGAAAGATACTTGTTCCTATTCAAGGCGCGAATTCTTGTCTGCAAAGTTAGACGGATCTCGGAAGATAGATCAGTTTTCGTTCTAAAGGATATTATTCGAGTAAGGGAATACATATATATATATATATATATATATATATATATATATATATATATCGATTATATCACAATTATATTGCGAAGGTATACAAAACAGTAAATTCCATTATTATGTTTTAGTTACCAGAAGTAGAATTAAAGGATCATCCTGGTGATATACGATCCTTCGAACTACATAACCCGGCTATTCCTAATTATCCCATCACTTTAGTAGCTCACAAGGATCCCGTGAAAGGTTATTGGCTCAAGGAGATTCGCCAATACGCTAGCGATCTAGTCGCTCTCGCTGAACACGCAGCAGACGATCTTCAGGTGACTGAGGAAGTGTTGGAAACTAAGGAAGAGCTCAAGAGCGACGAAAAGCCGGTATCAGTTAAGGTTGAATCACAGCAGGCAAATCTGGTATCACCTAAAGTCCAAGTGAAGGAAGAAATCCAGGCGAATTTGGCATCACCTAAAGTCCAAGCAAAGGAAGAAGTTAAGGTAAATCCAAGTGCACCGAAGGTAGAATCGACTAAAGACTCCATCAAGGTTGTAGAGAAGAGAAAAGATTCTGCGATCGACATATCCGAAGCAAAGAAAACCAAAGTCGAGGAAATCCAAATAAAGGAAGAAGCCAAAGTAAACCCGACTCTATCAAAGGTAGATTCGATCAAGGATTCCAAAGTTGTAGAGAAGAGAAAGGACTCTGCGACTAACATATCGGAAGCAAAGAAGAGCAAAGTCGAGGAAATTCGAGCGAAGGAAGAAGCCAAGGCAAATTCGAATCCACCGAAGGTAGACTTGATCAAAGACTCCGCCAAGATTGTAGAGAAGAGAAAGGACTCTGCGACCAACATATCAGAAGCAAAGAAGACCAAAGTCGAGGAAATTCAAACGAAGGAAGAAGCCAAGGCAAATCCGAATCCACCGAAGGTAGACTCGATTAAAGACTCCACCAAGATTGTAGAGAAGAGAAAGGACTCTGCGACCAACATATCGGAAGCAAAGAAGACCAAAGTCGAGGAAATTCAAACAAAGGAAGAAGCCAAGGCAAATCCGAATCCATCGAAGGTAGACTCGAGCAAAGACTCCACCAAGATTGTAGAGAAGAGAAAGGACTCTGCGACCAATATATCGGAAGCAAAGAAGACCAAAGTCGAAGAAGCACAAGCAAACATGTCTCGAAGATATTCCGCGAGTCGATATAGCACTTCTTCGAAAGTCGTAGAAGGTAAGTTCGTTGAATAAATCAGAGGAACGTTCTCTCATAATTCGATGTCGCATGCTCGCTAAAGTTGGCGATGTAAATCGATGTTGCATATATTGTAATTATGTATTGCGCTTATTCCGCTGTGCATAATGCAGCAAGTACATTTATGTGTCCAATTTAAACCTGTAAGGAATGGCATCAATTCGTGTATCAATTTTTCTTAAATCATCTTTAAAAAGTTAAAATATTAGCGATGATTATTTTATTTCACTTGATCAAAAATAAAAAATAATTTTAAACTCTACAATTTAAATTTTGCACTTTGGGTCAAGTAGTAAGATAGTTGTCAATTATAATATCTGTAGAATACTCGTCAGTCTCGAGTAGTCGTAATGGCGTGTCCACATTCATGGAATCGGCGACGTCCGAGACAAAAGTGTCTTCCACGTCACAAGGGGCAGGCCAGACATCGGAAACTACGACTTCATACGAGGCTGCAATCACCGGTGGTACGGCAACGGACTCGAATGTCGAAAAGGGAACTGCCAAAGTCACTCTTGCTACCGATGCTGGCAAACCGGTGTTTATCAAGACAATCGAAGGATGTAATGTGGAACGTAAGTATGCAATGTCGAAACCTTATTCAGATATATGTTACATGTATTTGTACTAATACCGGTTGTATTCTACTAAAAGTCACTTCTAAGCGAGTTCTAAAGTAAGACATTGTTTATTTTACTTTTGGAATTATAAGCAAAATAGGAGAATTAAAAAAAAATAACACTGTTAATTGATTTTTCATTTAAAAAATACAAAAAATAAAATATTAAAGAAATTTATAATATGATAAATAGTATATACAAACTATGTACATTAAAACACTTTGTATTTATAAATAATTACTATTTTAATCATATTGAATTTGTGTGATTATTTAAATAAATTCGACATACATAATTATATTAAATAATCTAGCTTATTATATGATAGGACAATTTTATCTTATGTTATTGTTAATTTGACTTTTAGAAAATTGACATTACATGTTTTACGAATAATTGCAAGAAACAAAAATACATATATCTGATCACAAGACATAAGATACATTTTTATTGTTCTAGCGATACGACCAAAAAAGGCATTGATACACGCTATAGGTAAAGTGACGTACTTTGCTTAGTTTATCATCGTTTACTATTCTCTGTATTTCTTCTATATGTTTCTTTGGGACTTTTCACGTTTCTCTTTTAGCCAGCTGAATCAACTATGCTTTTAGACGTAATACTATGTTATGCTGGTTAAACACGCTTCGCCGCTAAATGTTCGCTGTATACTATATCTACAATAAGCATTTATATTTCATTATGCTGACAAGTTAGTCTGATCTTATGCACAATCGCACAATCGCATTCTGACATTCTTGTACGTTATATTACTCCTTTTTATCATTATTGAAAGTTCATATTGTTCTTTGGATTAGATTTATATTTACATTTTAATATCTTTAATGAAATTTCTTTAATCATTTCTCTGAGATAATAAAACATTGAGGCATTATATTACAAATATATATCTGATGTAAAATATAATATACAGGATGTTTCTTAATAAGTGCGAAAAATTTTAGGAGATGATTCTTTGTCGAAAATTAACGGGAGTTTTTTATATAAACATATACTCCTACATCTCTATGGAATTACACTCCTCCAAAAATGGGAGTAAAAATTAGATTTTTATTTTTTTCTTAAATTTACAACAAGTTAAAGAAATGAAATTAGGTGAATATTTTCTACTAGTAAAAAGATTATTTATTAATATTTTTTTCAGCCTCCCATATTGTTATAAGGGGATGAAACTAGCAATCTCTATTCAATTTTTTATTAGAACTTTTTAATATTTATATGAGAAATTCTTCTTTATTTTTGACAAAGGATCATCTTCTAAAATTTTTCGCACTTATTAAGAAACACCCTGTATATTTTATATATTATATTTAATATATATATATATATATATATATATATATATATTTATTTATTTATTTATATATCTCAGAGTACCTTTTATAGCGAACAAGATTTTTTGTATGATTAAACCCAAATATTGGTAGAAACCTTGAACATGTACTTTATATCTTAAATTATTTTGCTTTTTAATGCACATTTACTCTTTCATGAACCACATATTATTAATTATTTTAATTATTCGATATATAACCAAATAATAGATGATTGATATATTATCGTACTGAACAGATATATTGATAACTATACTCAACTATATTAAATGCATTCTTGAAATATCATTTTTAAATTTATCTCCATTGAAAGAAAAATGCATTCAAAAAACAACGTTATGAGGCGTTATTCACAATATTTTCTGAATTGGCAGATTCGCTCTTCACATTTTCATAGTCTTTTTGGAATTTCACGATCTGTCATTGCTTCGCGTTGATGCAAATGATATTTTACAGCCGGAGAGGTTGCCACTTTCGAGTGCGCATTGTTAACCACCGACCCAACTACTAGAATGCAATGGTTAAAAGATAACAAACCAATGGAGGATAAACTGGCTGATCGCGTCATCACTACGATGTCCGATACCTCGTGCAAGCTCGAAATTCAGAATGCTCATGAATCAGATTCCGGCATATATATTGCGCGTGCTTTAAATGCGAACGGCGAGGCAACATGCACCGCTCAATTAGTGGTTCAACGATGTAAGTTATGATAAAAAATAATTATAATATAACAAAAAAAATTCGAAAAAAAAGAAATTTGGAAAATTAGAAGAATGTCTGTAAAATTAGAATATTTTTTAAATCTTCCTGTAAAGTCTCTTAAATATTTATATTGGAAGAAATGAAAACAATGTTTGCCGGAATAATTTTTTTTTCGTTTTTAATATAAAATATCGCAGTGAGTCCGGAAGAGCAAAAAGCAAGAGCAGAAGCAAATGCGCCTATATTCTTGGTGCGTTTGAAAGATACCGAGCTTCTCCAGAATACCTATCTACGCTTCATGATCAAGGTCAAGGGAAATCCTAATCCAGAAGTAAAATTGTAAGTGTTTAGACTCAATTAAAAAAATCTAAAATTTATACATCTTGAAATTACAAATTAACAAAAAATATTTTTATATTAAAGAAAAGAAAATTTATAGCGTTTATTAATTATTTTAAAATTTGTTCACGTTAGATAACATTGAAGAAAAGTTTTGTTATTGAACAATTTTTTTTAGCTATACAAATTCAGATATGTAAATGTTCAATAGACAAAAAGACGTCCAAAAATAAGGATATGTCTTAGATATTTTTCGAAAATTTATAATTAAAAAATTAAAAAATTCACTTGTCTTGAAAAAAATTGGTAAATATACATTTTTCTTAGCTTCAAGGATGGCGTCTTGATCGACGCAAAGCACGAACGCGTGAAGATCATACGGGACAACGCCGAGAAAGGATTTTATGAAATGGTGATTGCCGATGTTCAGAAACAAGATGCTGGAAAATATTCGTGCACAGCTATAAATCGTTACGGCGATGCTACATGCGAGGCGGTGGTGACGGTGACAGATGAAAAGCCGTTGTTCTTGGGACTTCCTGAGGGACTTCTTGAACTTGGAACAGAACCGCGATTCCTTTGGTCGCGCGATGGACAACCGTTCAATCCTGAAGACAGATTTAAAGTTCTCTTCAAGGATAGCGAGGATACTCTGGCACTGGTGTTCCAGCATGTAAAACCCGAAGATGCCGGTCTTTATACATGCGTAGCACAAACTTGCACAGGTACACTGCACCTATTAAGGAAATTAATTTTTAGATTTTAATTTTTTAATAAACTTTAATTTAAATTTTTCAATAAACTCTATTTACTTTTTCTATTTACTTTTTGCATCAATAATTTGGAAACAGAATAAGTTAAACGTTTTTAAAAATGGATAGAATTAGCATAGTAAAATAGCATATATTTCTAAAATAACATTTATTATAAAAACATAATAAATTATTTTAAAAGTATTTAATAAGACGTTTTTTTGGGATGTAACTATTTTTTTGTATTTGAAATATATTATATTAATAATAAGAATTATTTATCAAAATATATTAATTTATAACGATCCCGAATATGCAGGTAACATTAGCTGCAGCGCAGAATTAACAGTGCAAGGTGCTGTGAATCAATTGCTGAAGGATCCGGAAAAGCCGAAATTACAAACGGAATCGAGGCAATCGGAAGTGAACATCGGTGGTTCCGCGATGTTAGAATTACAGGTAAAGGGTTATCCTAAGCCAGATATCAAATGGACCAAGGATGGCCAGGAGATCGCAGCCGGCGGTAGAATCAAGTACCTCTGGGAAGACGAAGAGTCCCTCTCGTTAGTGATTAAACAAGTCACCGCCAAAGACGCCGGTACTTATACCATCACGGCGAAGAACGAGCTCGGCGAGGACAGTACGCAGATCGAGTTGATCGTCAAGTCCGCACCGAAGGTCACGAAAAAGCAATCCGACATGATGATCCTTATTGAGGATACGGGTACGATGACTGTGCAAGTGGAGGCCACTCCGGCACCGGAAGTTTCGTGGTATAAGGACGGTCAATTGATCGAGGAAAGCAATCGTATCAAGATTATCAAGGAGAATAGTGACACGTACAAGCTGGTGATCAAGAATGCGAAACGAGAAGACGCGGGCTCGTACTCGATCGTCGCACGAAACGAGATCAATCAAACGACAGAGATCTGGAAGGTCGGCATTAAATACCCGCCGAAGATCAAAAAGGGACTCGGCGAACCTCGAGTGCTGAATGAAGGAGACACGTTGAATCTCTTGATTGAAGTGGATCCGGATTGTGAGCCGACTTCGGTGAATTGGTACAAGGACAAGCAGCTTCTAACCGCGAGCGATCGCGTGAAAATGACGCAAAATGGAAGCAATTATATACTTACAGTTAGCGGTGCGAAGGTGGAAGACGCAGCGGTTTATAAGGCTGAAGTGGTGAACAAGTACGGGACCATTTCTGACGAAACGAAAGTCAGAGTATGTAGCTTGAGTCTTTCTGTCTCATTGAAATTACATTTTAAGAGAATTTTTCATATCCTATTCAGCAAAATTTTTTTTAAATAATTAAAAATAATTCAATTATATTAATTATTTCATTCAAATGTTCATGGAAATTTTCGCAGGTACGTGGTATACCGCAATTCAAGACGAAACTGTGCGATATCAGTGCGAACGAGGGCGAACTGAACATCGAGCTTGTGGTAGAAGTCGAGGGCTTTCCGAAGCCGAGCGTGCACTGGTTCCTGGGTGACATCGAAATCACGGAGAAGCGCACAGAGTACACTCGTGTGGAAGAAGGCGATAATTACAAGCTTGTCATCAAGGAGGTGAAGACTGAGCTAAAGGGCCATTATACCTGCAAGGTGCAAAACGAGTACGGCGAGAACTCGAGCAGTTCCAACCTGACAGTAAACACCCGACCAAAGTTGCTGAAGAAACTAGAGGACCAGAGATTGAAGGAGGGCGAAACGCTCACACTGAAGTTGGAGGTATCCGCTACACCAGATCCGGAAGTCAAGTGGTACAAGGATGGGGAAGAGGTGACGGCAGACGCCAGGATTAAGATCACTAGGGATAGCCAGCGGAAGGAGAGTTACGATTTGACAGTGACACTACTGAAGGGCAGCGATGGCGGCTTGTATGAAGCGCGAGCTGAAAACGAGCTGGGCTATGTTATTAGCAAGAGCAAAGTCATCGTGCTGAGTAAGTATCCGCGTGTCTTCTTCAATCCTAATCCTGGAACTCGACTCTGTCTGTCACGAGCTAAGTTTGATTATAAAATTATGATTCAGTTATCTATAATATAATATATGACATTAATATATAATTGTATTATATATATTTTAAAGAATTAAATCGCGGAAATTGAATTCAAGTGGCTCCATAATTGTAGTATTTATTTTTCAATAAAGTCATGTTTTTGATGTCACATAGTCGAGTTCCGGAATTAAAAATTCGGGGATAATTTTAACAGAGTTGACGAAATCTCATGAGGATGGCTGAAATCGTGATATTTGCCAGAATGGAATGGTCAGCAATAAACAATGTATATTTCTAATTTTTGAGAAATCGCAGCAATTAAAGTTATCATGTTTCGACATTGTTCAGTAAGTATACTGGATGCACAAACACGAAACAGTTCTCTTTTCATTTTTATCTCCCGGTGTGACATTTTGGGAATTTTTTGACGGCCTTTAATGACGAGGTTTAATTGAGATTTTTTTCCATAGTTTTTCTAGTTTTTTAAAAAACCTATGTGTGTAAGAAAGGACTCTCTCCTAATTTCCTTAAACGGAAGGGTAGAGCACTATTCTTTTGACGCGTCACATTATTGATGTTGACGCTAAATGTGTTTTTTGTTTTTCTTTCTTCCTTTTACCGGTCCATTCTTACATTTGTGTTTGCTTCGAGAAATTCTTCTGATTTTTTTAAAACTCTCTCATGTTACCTCTAAATGTCATAAGTACTGACATATCGCATCTTGAAACATGTCACGATAAAGACTCGAAAGAATGTACTTCCGTAGCTAAAACGGAAGATGAGAAGGTCGATGAAAAGATAGAGCCTCCGAAAGAAAAGGTCGAGAAGACAACAGTGAAGGAAGAAACGCGAGCAAAGAAATTGAACGAACAATTGTTGCCTCAGCAAACGACTCTGCGCGCTGAAGAATCAGGATTGGAAGGTAAATCATGCGCGTCTATTTGAATAGTTCGCTAAATTAGAGTACGTCAGAATGAAATAGTTTCGCTTCGTTTGGAACGCGTAATGAATCACAATGATGCTTTGACAATTAAAACACCAATCTGCGATTTGTATGTCACATGCTTCGATAAGAATTTCAAAAGACACTTTAATTCTAAAATCACTTTTTTTCTAAATAATTCATGCTAAAAAATATTGTGCACGATAAAGCCAAGTTATTTTTTTATAACATTTATATTAAAAAAAAATTCTTTAATTTTTTTATATTTTATTATAAAACTAAGCATCTCTTAGAGTTATTAATTCAATTTAAAAAAATTACTTTTTCAAAAAAATACAAAAAAAAGAAGTGATCATTTTTCGTAATTTGTTCCTGAATATCAATAAAACAAAAAAAAATCGGACATTTTTCTCGTTCGTAAATTTCTCAAAATTATAACAGAAAAATTTCAAAACGAAAATTGTTTAAGAAATTGCAAGAAATAATTATTCTGTTTTTTGCATTTCTTTTAAATTGTATAACTAAAAATTAATAGTATTGTTTCGTTATCGCTTCGTCTAAATTTGTTTAATTCATAAAGCGATTTTAAAAAGTTAGGCAGATTTGTGTGGCGCACCGTGTATGATAATTTATCACATACTACATAACTTATTATTAGCGATGTTGACAAGGTATTTGATTAAGAGTCGTTTAACAGTAGTTTTGTAGCGAGACAATATCTGTGGTAAATTTAGGTCGCGTCAGACTGGAGAAACAAAACATCCAAGTAATTCAAGGGGACAATGAAACAATCACAATCTCCGTGGCCTCTACAACATCACACGAAGCTATACTCACAGGTAATCTCACAAAAAAAAACTGTTGAAAAATTACATTATCCTTCACCATTCAGCCAACATAAAAGTCTAAAAGACGTCTTCTATAATTCTACAATCTTTTCTAGACATTTCTGTTGTCTGGATATTTCATAACTAACAAATTTATACAAACAGGGTACACGAAATCGCAATATATTTTTTGAAACCTAAACATATTCAAAGATCGCTTTGATTTAAAATTCTCATCATCGTTTACTTTTATTGTAGTAAGTTCAAGCGATAAACGTGTAATTTATAGAGAGAAAAATTACTTCTAAAAATAGACATATGCGCGATAGATATATGCGAGCGATAGTAGTCGAAGGTATTAGGTCAGGCCATTCACAGGTCCCGATGAAAGTCATACGATCAGCAAGATGACGGCGACCAAAGTCGAGTGTCGGGAATTCGGTGTTGAATCGGGACCCCGTGTTGAAGAGATCGCTTCTTATGCTTACACCGTACAAGAGGAGAACTCCCGACCACAAAATGGCGTGCTAATCGAGGAATTTTCGGAGACCGAAGAGAAAAGATCCAACGTAGGTTTAAATCGTGGAATCACGATTGTCTCCGTTTCCGATGACGAATCGACTTTGAAGGCGCTGTCACGAGACGTCAGCATAGAGGACATGCAATCGGCCGATCAGTTTCCGGACGATCAAAAAACAACGAACGATATCGACGAATTTTACTTTAACGGAACATCGGAAAATGAGAGAATTTTGGAAAATGTTATACCGTATAGAATCTCTAGAATCGTGGAAACTATCGAAGAACGGTCATCCGAGGAGCCGTCTTTGACAAAAGTGCTGTCGAATCAAACTTTACGGCAGGAAAGTCTGGAGGTAAAGGAGATAAATTTATCCGCCCAGAGTCCGACGATTAGCGATTCAAGCCCGGCGAAGAGAATCGCGGAGACAACTTTAGATCAACCAAGCTCCGCCGTTGAATTGTCGAAGGCGACCGCGATGCTCGAGGAGACAAAAATCTCGACACTGTCGAGCAAAACACCGTCGAGCACTCGGAAAGGGCAGCTCGACGACGACGACGAAGAGATCGATGAGGAGATGAAGAATCTTTTAGCTCGTGTTAAGCGACAACGTAGCGTGCTAGACGAAATCCTCGATAAAGAGTCAGGCAGAGAGTCAGGTACGACTGCGCGGGACTTCATCGATACACAATTTCAGTAGCTAACTCTAATTTCTCTATAGCACTATAAGTCGTCGAAATATATCGGCTCTATCTATCGATTGTCAGATCTATTCTTTCGCCTCCTTCTCTCTTGCTTGTTCTCAATCTCACAATTTCATCATATTTCGATAACATTCGCATGCTCACATGGAAACATAAAACAATTGGAGAGTCTATTAATGGAAATTTATATAAGAGATTGAATAATATAATTTTTGGAAATTCTGTCTTTTTAAATTTATAATATTAATATATTGATATTTCATTAAAAATATATAACTAATTATATTATATTAATAACAAAGGCCTGCGAAGGTCAGTTACAAAAAGCAGAGTAGGTGAATCTGATAGATTTTTTAATACTGAAAACAAATCTGGCCACAGAATTTCCCCAGCATATCAGGTTTCCGAGTAATTTATAGTTAAAAAATTTATAGTTAAATAGTCCAAAAATGGCAATTTCGACATATTTCATGAATTTATTATGGAAGAATCTAATTTTTTTAAATATTTCTGCTAATGACATCGTATAATACCAGTCATCACCTTTTAAATCCATTTTCGATTGCCGCTGCGTGATTTTTTCCCCCTGAGATATATAAGTATGAAGTTATAAGAAAATTTACGTTAAAAAAATTTACATAGGCATCAATATAGCAGATCTACCATCTTGAAATTTGAAAAGGCTTACATATGGTCGGTTGTCCAAACAAGTCCTGTAAAAATATATCTAATACAAATTTTATACCTTTTTATTCTGTCCTCCATATTAGATGCACCATTTTTAATTTCAAAAAATGACATGAAACATTTAAAAATTTATGTTTTTACCCAAATTTTGATTCGTGATAAGATAGAGAGATAACACAATTAAATTGAAATAGACTTATTGGACGACTATGTATGACCAGTCTTATAACTTGTATATCTCAGCGAAAAAAAATCGTGTGGCAACAATCAAAAATAGATTTGAAAGGTAAAGACTAATATTATACAATGCCATTAGCAGAAATCTTTCAAAAAATTAGATTCTTCCATAATAAATTTATGAAATTTGCCGAAATTGCCATTTTTGGATATTGCCATTTAACTATAAATTACTCGGAAACCTGGACGTGAGGAAATTCTGCGACCGAGATTCGTTTTCAGCGTCAAAAAATCTATCAGATTCATCCACTCTGTTTTTTATAACTAACCAAATCTAAAATTTCGTTGACTTGTGTAATCACATATATTACACATAATATTTATTTATGCTTCCATGTGTAATATTATACTATTTGTGCCTTTGAAGCTTTATGTTATTCGACATTGACTTATAGCACCGTACTACTTTTCATCAATTGAAAAAATAACAAGGTAAGGTTTTTGTTCTACAAAAAGTGTAGGTCTATTTTATAATCTTCACTATGCAGTTTGCTGAGCACCTACTTAACTATATACTTTTAGGTAAGTATATGTTTTATAAAATCTATATTATTTAATAGATATAATAAAACATATCTGACAATTGAGCTTAGATGCATCGATAAAGTGTGAAATTTATTTTCATGATATGTTCTTTCAAAAAGAATGATATTGTTTCACTTTTATATATAATACATATATAGTAATATTGTAAATTATCACATTTAAATAATGAGTATTTTTAATAACATTACTTTTAGTTGTTTTTAATTTTAAATAATCAAGTTGAATTAATAATTGAATAATTAAAAATTTAAAATAATGAAATAAATAATTAAATGAATTAAATAATTGAAATTATGAATTAAATAATTAAAATTAAATATTTAATTAAATAATTAAAAATTTAAAATAATTAATTCATAAATGATACAAATATAATTAATTAAAATATATTATATGTATATATAACTATATAACTATCTTAATATTAAATATAAAATATAAAATATAAAAATATAAAAACTAATTCTATGGAAAATTAAATTGCACAATAATGTTCTTCGGTTAATCGGATTACGATGCATCTTAAGCGCTCACAAGAATACATGGTAAAAAAAATTGAGACTTATTCTTCCCATTTTATTTCGCGCAGCCCCGCCTCACATCATAAGCACAAATCTCACCGATCGAACGATCTTCGAGACGCAGAATACGCAATTCGAGATAAACGCAACAGGCTTACCGAGACCAGATGAGAAGTGGCTGAAGGATGGTAAGCCTCTTCGATCTGGGGAACGGGTGAGGATCACGACTGCTGGGGAGTTATATCAGATGGATCTCAGCAAGGCCACCCTCGAAGACGCAGGTGTTTATACCCTCATCCTGACGAACAAGTTAGGCGAGGAAATCGTAGAAGGTTATCTGACAGTCGGTACTGTCAACGATCTCCGAAAGCCAAGGTTTAGTGAACCTCTTCAGGACGTCGATGTCGATCCTCAAGCAGATGGTGAATTCAAAGCCGTCTTCACGGCCGATCCTGTTCCGGATATTACATGGTATTATTTTACGTATTTTAAGCATAAAAAATTAGTTTTTAAATATAATCAAAGAGATGTTTAAAATATATATTTTAAAATATAGTGGGAAATAAGGGGGGAGGGTCGTCCAGAACTTTCAAATTTTTCATTTTTTTTTTGCTTTAAAAGTTCATTTGGATCCTAAAGAATATATTTACAATGTTTTAAGCCCAATAGAAAGTCTTTAAAAAGTCAAAGAAGTGATGAGCGTCGAAAGTACCGAAAGCAGGTAAACGAGCGCGCGCTCTTTACGGCCTATAGCTTTCATTTCTTACCTAAATAAGTTTTTTAGTTGACTTTTTGGAATATAGGAGACACTTCGGAAGATTATTCGGATTTTGTAACGGTCGTTTTTGGCTTACACAGGAATAGTAGCTGAGAAACGGCTTGCTCTTAGTATACAGAGCACGTGTTTGTATTTCGCAGTAACTCGTGTTTCCAGTGCCTCGTGTTATTATTTTGAATCGAGTTTTAAATAATAACTTGATAAAATGAGTCGTAAAATCGATAAAAATAAACCAAATTATCGTCCTAACTATCCTCGTCGTAAAAAATTTCAAGGAAATCAATTTTCTCAAATCATGGAAGTTGACGATGAGTCCAACGATGAAGCTAGTGCGTCAAGATCCGCAAAGAAATTGAAGTCATCAGCGGACGATATTATTATTAGCCAAAGTTTTGGCTACAGGATCATTGAGTTTGTCAGTGTATTTTCTGCTCTTGCTGATATATTGGTGTGCAAACAGTGCAAGCGAAAAGTGTCGTTCGGTCAATCAGGTGATAAAGGGCTCGGTTTCAAAATTTCCGTTACTTGTACATGTGGCACTCTACTCATTCCATCTAGCCCGTTTATTCACTGTGCTTATGAGATAAATAGACGTATAGTTATTGCAATGCGTTTACTTGGTGTCGCTCGAGAAGGTATAAATATTTTTTGTGGAGTGATGAATTTAGGCAGCGGACTAAGTAAAAATGCTTATGGACTCATTATCGAACACATACATACTTCCGTGCAAAAGTTGTTCGATATCTCTTGCAAAAATGCTATTGAAAACGAAAAAAAAGAAAATGAAGCACGAGAACAACCGTTACTCAATTTGACTATTAGCGGCGATGGATCTTGGAAGAAGCGCGGCTTTTCGTCTTTGTACGGAGTAATTACGTTTATAGGCTATTATTCGAGTAAGGTAGTCGATTTGGTAGTAAAAAGCAGTTACTGCCAAGTATGTACGTACTTCAGAAATAAATCCGATTATCTAGAAATCGCAGAGCACGAAGAAGTTTGTACCATAAATCATAAAGGCTCTTCAGGCAAAATGGAAGTCGACGCAGTTCTTGAAATGTTCGGCCGTTCAGAAGAAAAATACGGTGTACGTTACGTGAATTATGTTGGAGATGGCGATACAAAAACATTTAAAGCAATATTAGATGCAAATCCGTACGAAAATACTGAAATAAAAAAAAGTGAGTGCGTAGATCATGTGGAAAAACGCATGGGAAGCCGTCTTCGAAATATAAAAAAGATCGCAAAGCTCGGTGGAAAAGGCAAACTAACCGATGCTTTAATTAAAAAGTTAACAAAATACTATGGTCTTGCTATACGAAGAAATGCCAAGTCGAAAGATGATATGAAAAAAGCTATTATGGCCACGTATTATCATTTAATATCTACCGATGAAAAGCCCCAGCATCAGTTCTGCCCTACTGGCATCGACTCGTGGTGTCAATACAACGCTGCACAAGCCAATAATATTTCTTATGAGCATCCAGCTCCACTGCACGTAGATGTACAAAAAAGCATATTACCTATCTACGAAGATTTGTCACGAGATGACTTGCTTGAGCGTTGTGTTGGCGGTTTTACTCAAAACGCAAACGAATCTTTCAATTCAACTCTCTGGCGTCTAGCTCCGAAGCACTTGAATTGTGGCGCAAAAATTATTGAAATCGCAGCTTTTTTAGCTGGAGGAATCTTCAATGATGGCTATTTATTCGTACTTAAAGTCATGAGGGACCTGGACTTGACAATAGGCTTGGAATGCAAGAATTTTGCGGACTCGTACGATAGCAATCGAGTGAAGAGGCAAGAGCGGCGCTCGTTAAATTCGTCAAAAGAGGCTAGAACTGCCCAGAAAGAAAAAAATGCTGCTGAATTAGATGATTTTATTGAAGAAGAAGGCTTGCTTTATGGACCTGGTATCGCAGATTAGCTTAGGTAACTATAAATTGCTTTTAACTGTACTTTTCAAGAACGAAAACTTTAATCGCGTTTTTCTCAAAACACGTTTTTATCCGCGCCGTGGAACATAACTTAAAAAGTTATTAAGATATTAACTTGAAATTTTATACAGACATTCTTTGAGGTATTGGCCTTTGTATGTACCTAAAATTTTGCATAAATTATTACTATAAACATTGTTTATAACAATTAGTTTATAAAAAAAAGTGAAATTTTTTTCTTTTTGAGTTTAAATTGTGAAAAAAAAATTTTTTTATTAGAAATAGGTATATGCAAAGCGTAATGACTTATTTTAATAGAATTTTTTTGTCCGATTGATTTCAGTTGATTACAAGAGGCTGGGTATTCCACGGCGCAAATCGAAGGAGTCAACTTTGAACAGCTGTAGCGCCGCCATTTTTTAATTTTTTTGCATAAAAATTTATGAGTGAATACATCATAACATATACTATACTATGTAACTTCATTTGATACAATAAGTGTATTCAATTTCTCAAAAAAAATTATTAAAATACCTGTTGTCTGGACGATCCTCCCCCCATGGACAAAAATATTATTTTTCTTTTTCTTATTATTAATCTAAATCTATTTCATTTTGGAAAATTTAAGTAGAATACATTACTTTAAAAAAAGCTTTAAACATCTTTTTTTTAAGATAATTGTATATAAATATATATTTTTCAGGTTCTGCAAAGGTCAGGAAATTCCGCCTGATGATTCTAGACTTAAATGGACTGTCACTAGTGGCCCGGCAGCTGATAGATTAACGGAATGTAAAATTGCACTGAAAGTACCAAAATGCACCAAAGAAGATACCGGAGAATATACTTTGAAGTTAGCAAATAAATGGGGCGAAGGCGAATCTAGTGTAAGTAGTAGATTAACAGAAACTACGGAAAATTAATTTAATAAAAAAATGTGATATGAAAGAGGGATTTGTTTTTCTTTAGGCATTTTTAAGTCTTCTATTAAAACCAGAAATTGAGACCTTTAGAGATCACACCGCGTCGGTTGACGAGCGAGTTGAATGGCAAGCTATTATTAAAGGAAATCCAAAACCTGAAATCGTATGGAAGAAAGATGGTACGCAGTTGCAAAAGAACGAACAGTACGATATGGAGGAAGATAAAAGAAATTGCAAATACAAGCTTATCATCAAAAAGCTCACTCTGAAGGATGAGGGAACCTACACAGTTGTAGCAAAGAATTATTTGGGCGAAGTGAGTGCTCAAGCTACACTTACGCCTCACAGTAAGTAAATAAAATAATACATAACATGATATACACGAAAAAAATACAGAAAGTCAAGAATCTTTAAAGTATTTGTTTAAATAGATTTTTTTTAAAATTCCAAGCGTAAAAATATTTGCATTTTTTGCAGCCGAGGCTCCGACTTTCCTGAAAGACCTGTCAAAGGTGCAATGCAACGATCGCGAGGATATTGAACTGAAAATCCGTGCAACTGGCATCCCGAGACCGACCGTCGAGTGGTTGAAAGACGGCGAGATTTTCAAAGAGGACGAGCGTCATCAGGTGACGAGCCACGTGGATGGCATAGTTGACAGTACCCTCTCCATCAAATCTTTCTCAGCCGACGACGCCGGCATGATAACTTGCAAGGCGACCAATGTCGCCGGAGTAACGCAGACTAGCTGCAAGTTATCCATGATGTTGACAGCACCTTCGTTCGGTAAAGCGTTACCAAGATCGGCAGAAGTTGACGAGGGCGAACCTTTGGAGCTCAAGGCCAAGGTAGACGGCAGTCCGATACCTAAGATTGCTTGGTTCAAGGACGGCGAGAAGATCACTCCGGATGATCACGTGAAGATTAGTACATTGCCGGATGGTACCACGAAGCTTACTATCGATGTAGTGAAACCTACCGATTGCGGTGCCTACAAGCTTGTTGTTACAAACTCCAGTGGCGAGAATTCCTCGCTCTGCGCTGTTGCTGTCACGCGTGAGTGAATCTTTTCTCTTTCTCTGTTTGCAAAATCCTCACTGTAATGTGATCGAATTGTTATTCAATACGAGATTGATATGTTCTTTGTAGCCGAACGAAGGAAACCATCCTTCACAAAGCCATTGGAGGATACGAAGGCTATAGTCGGGCAACCGTTGAAACTGGAAGCACAAGTCCTAGCTTTCCCGAATCCGCAAGTGCAATGGTTTAAGGACGGAATACCATTGCGACACTCAAAAGAAATGTATTTTATGAATGAGCCGAATGGTCTTATTGGCTTGAGAATGGATTATGCACGTCCGGAAGATGCCGGCATCTATTCACTGACTGTCTCCAACGTGCTCGGTGAAATCACGGGTACGGCCAAGGTAGAAGTGGAGGAAAGGGAGAAGAGACCGGAGTTTGTTGCGAGTCTTCAACCGCAGACTGTTGTCGAGGGTTTCCCGGTGAAGTTGGAAGTAAAAACTACAGGAAAACCGGCGCCCGAGCTCAAGTGGCTACGAAATGACGAAGAAGTCAGTATAATATCTATTTATATTGTTGTGATCGAACATTATTACAACTATATTAAAATCCTTTCTCAAAGTCGATTTTTTAAAATAACATCTGTACTTAAATATACCCTTAGATTGTTCCGGACAACAAGCATATCAAAATCATCAGTCAACCGGACGGTAGACAAGCTCTGATCTTCGACAAGGCAACGCCGGAAGACATCGGTGTATACCAAGTGATAGCTGGTAACACGGAAGGTACCGCGTCCTGCAAAGCCAAGTTGGACGTAGCTGGCAAGGTAACACCGGATACGCCGGAAGAGAAGCCAACGTTTACCAGTCCCATGCGCGATGTCTCCGTTGAGGAGGGCCAGCCATTGGCATTGAACGTGTCGTTCGTCGGTAATCCGATCCCCGATGTGAGTTGGACGAAGGACGGCGAGCCGGTTGTGCCATCGGAACGCATTTCGATGAGCTGTGACGGCAAGAAGGTCGGTCTGCAAATCGATCCGTGCGAGCCTAAGGACGCGGGCGTTTACGGCTGCCGACTAACTAATCCATTAGGCGACGACACCATCAGCGCGAACGCTATCGTTCGTAAGGTGTACCAATCGCCGAACTTTACGCAAAAGTTCACAGATCTGCAGCAGTTACCCACGTACGACGCCAAGTTTCCAACCCGTATCAGCGGTATACCGCATCCAGAAGTTACCTGGTATTTCAACGACAAGCCGATTTTGCGGGACAACGACAAGTACAAGATCAAGCGCGATGGCGATGCCTGCTGTCTATACGTAAAAGATTGTACATACGATGATTCAGGAAGCTACAAGTGTAAGGCGGTTAATAAGGGCGGCGAGGCGGAGTGCGTGGCAAATCTGGCTGTTGTTGATAAGATGTAAGATTTAGCGAAAGCAAATGTAATAGAAAGAGGGAAATTTTTTTAGCTTTCTTACATAACATCCGTAATTTCAGCGAGAAAATGCAGAAAGTCGAGCCACCGGCGTTCCTGAAGAGGATCGGCGATTGCGAGGTTTATAGAGGCATGCCGGCAAAGTTCACCGCATGCGTCACAGGTTACCCGGAGCCCGACTTTGAATGGTATCGCAACGGTGACAGGCTCTGGCCCTCTGATCGTATTAGGATGGACCAGGAAGGTAGCCTGTTACGGCTCAGAATAGCCAATGTGGATGAGCTGGATGCCGGAAAATATGTGCTGAAGATATCCAATCCTCACGGTGAGGATTCATGCAGCGCGGAAATGGTTTACGAATGTAAGTAAACGAGACCTTCAACAATGCTAAGAAATAATTCGCAAGGTTCAAATAAATTTGTCATTTTTAATATTTATATTAAATTATATTAAAAATTAATTATTATATTAAATTATATTAAATTAATTTATTATGTTAAATTAATATTCATATTTGTAACTTATAATTTTATACAGCTTTAGAACCACGTGCGAAGAAACCTCTCGCCGATCAATACGCGGATTTCGACAAGTATCAGAAGTCGGGCATTCCGTTACCGCTGGCGGACCGTCCGATCATCAGCCGTATGATGGACCGGCATCTTACCCTCTCGTGGAAGCCGTCCATTCCGATCGGACCACGCGTGCCCGTAACTTATCTGGTGGAGATGTGCGAATTGCCGGATGGTGACTGGTTTACCGCACGCAGCGGCGTACGTAGCTGCGTGTGCGACATACGCAATCTCGTGCCGTTCCGTGACTACAAGTTCCGCATCCGAGTGGAGAACAAGTACGGTATAAGCGATCCATCGCCATTCGCGCAGACTTATCGCGCCAAACTCGAGCCAGAGCCGCCCAAGTTCTTCCCCTATCTGCCACCGGGTATCGACTTCCGTCCCGAAACTAGCCCCTATTTCCCAAAAGACTTCGACATCGAGCGACCGCCGCACGATGGCTATGCCCAGGCGCCTAGATTTTTGCGTCAGGAATACGACACGCAATATGGCGTGAAGAATCATAACTGCAACCTCTTCTGGTTCGTCTACGGCTATCCCAAGCCAAAGATGACGTACTATATCGATGATGAGCTCATTGAATCGGGCGGTCGTTACGATCAGAGTTACACCAGGAACGGTCAAGCAACTCTCTTCATCAACAGGATGCTCGAGAGAGATGAAGGCATCTACGAAGCCGTTGCTACGAATGAACACGGCGAGGCCAGGCAAAGAGTTATCTTAAAGATCGCCGAATATCCTACGTTTATCGAGAGACCCGACGAAACCATCGTGATGGTGAGAAGAACCGGTCAATTGACTGCTCGCGTAACTGGCGTACCTTATCCGGAGCTTAAGTGGTATAAGGACTGGAAACCTATAGCTTCATCTTCCAGGATCAGGGTTAGTTCTATTCGTATTTCTATTACTTTTTATTTCACTCTCCAAAGTACAATCTTATTACGTCTTTAATCGAATAGATTCAATTCATCGAACCCGACACCACGACTCTCATCATCAGCGAGGCCATCACCAAGGATGAGGGTCTCTACTCGATCAGCGCGGGTAACGTGGCCGGTTCGGTATCGTGTTCAGTGATGCTGCACGTAGAGGAGAACGAGCACGAATACGGATACAGGACGTATCGAAAGAAGATGGATGTGAAACCGCGCGACAAGCTGTTCAGCGATTTGTACGATTTAGGCGATGAATTGGGTCGTGGCACTCAGGGTGTCACTTATCACGCAGTCGAGCGGAGTACCGGAAGGAATTACGCATCTAAGATTATGCACGGGCGTGGTGATCTCAAGCCATTCATGTACAACGAGATGGAAGCGATGAACAATCTGCATCATCGCAAATTGCTGCGATTGCACGACGCTTTCGAGACTAATGATTCAGTCACGCTCGTCATGGAATTGTATCCTTTATTATTATTATAAAATTAATTTTAATATAAATAATTATTATAAATTATTATAAATATTAAATTATTAAATATTAAATTATTATAAATATTAATAATTATTATAAATTAATATACTTTATTTTTCTTTGATAACAATTATTTAATATTAGTTTTCAGTTATTTTATAATTATTGTATTAATTTCATTGATAAAAAAAAGATAGCATTATTATTCTAATTAATTCTATATAATTCACTTAATATATATTATTCAAAATTACGAATTAATGCGAAAATGGCCTAGAATTGCAAAGAATCCTTAACGAATGATAATTTAGAGCGGCTGGTGGTGAGTTGGTGGATACTCTCACGAGACAAGAATACTACACCGAGATAGATATCGCTCGTTATATACGTCAATTGTTGTGGGGACTGGAATATATGCACGAAAATCATTACGCACATCTTGGTCTAACGGTACATTGTTTAAAAATTATCTTGTTTAAAAAATATTTAAATGTATTCGAATTATATGTAATTATAAATTACCTATATTGATTTTTTTACATCATTGGAGCAAATTTAAAATTTAAAATTTAGACATAATAAAAATAATTAGACATAATAAAAATAATGATTATTTAATCATTATTTTTTATTATTAATTTTATTATTATTAATTTTTTTATTATTAATTTTAATGAAAAAGAAAATGTAACTATTTTTATTTAATCCAAAACAATAATTTAATATAATCCAAAACAAAATTAACTATTTTCATGAATTAAATATGTACATATAATAAATATTTGTCACATTTAATTTAATTTAAATTAAATATCCGTTGTATTATAATTAAATTTTAAATATTTTTAATTCAACATATCTCACTTTCTCTTCATAGCTTGGCGATCTACTAATTTCGCACGCCAATGGAGATGATCTAAAGATCGGAGACTTCGGACTCGCTCGTAAAATTTTGCAGACAAAGTTAATGACCTTGGCATACGGCATGCCGGAATATGTCGCACCGGAAGTGACTAATAACGAGGGCGTCAGCTATCCCGCAGATATGTGGGCCGTCGGTGTAATTACCTATATCCTGCTATCGGGCATTTCACCATTCAGAGGCGCAAACGACAGAGAAACGTTGAAGAAGGTCAGGGAAGGTAGATGGGACTTTGACGATCGATGGAAGAACATCTCGAACGAAGCGCAAGACTTTATTCACAGTTTACTAAAATACAATGTCGAAAAAAGATTGGACATCAAGACCGCTTTGGCTCACCCGTGGTTTAATTATATCGATAATTCGCCGCCGGAGCCCTACAGGATACCTTCCGAGAACTTGAAGAATTATTACAAACTTTATCGGTAAATAAAGATTATACAATCTTTTGTTTATACATATTAAAGAAAGAATATTATAATATTATTATTAATTTTGCAAAAATAATTTGCAATTTTATAGATAATGTAATACAATATTTTGTTTTAATCGGGATAGAATTTTTAAAAGAAAAAAAGGATTTTAAGCGATATAAATATATTTATAAGACAGGCTATGAAAATAAGATGAAGGTGAAAAAATCCCGAAATTTGTTTGTATGACATTAATATGATTTGTCATAATATAATTAATTAACAATTAGATTATTATAATTATTTTTGATTGTAAATGAAATATACTTTTACAGCGATTGGTACAGTAATGCTTCGTGCCGCACGTGGTATCGCAGACGTAAATTGGAGACAGCTTTCGAGGATCCGTCACGGATGGTATATCCACCTGGACATAAATTCACACCTGAACCCAGCCGCGAAAGGAGTCCGTTGAAGAAACGTTCGCCCAGGACATGGGAAAATCAAATACCATCCAGAGAACCGATCGATACGGAAATCGGGATTATTACAAATGAAAGCCAGTAAGAATCGATAGAATAAATATCTGGCTTTTTTTATTCTAATATCATAAATTTTGTATTTATAAATAATGTTTATATAATTTGTAAGAAAAGTTGTTTGAATAAGAATAATATTGGTTTTCTGAATAAAGTTACATAATTTTAGATATTAGATTTCTAGGAGATATAATATGATCGGTTGATATTTTGACAAACTATTGATATTTTATAGTTATCAAAATGGTCCGGACACATATCTTCTTCAGCTGCGAGACACCGATTTCCCTGTACGACTACGTGAATACATGAAAGTCGCATGCAATCGCAGTCCCGGATTCTCCCGTTCCATTACTGAAGACAACAATTTTGACTGGAGGGTACGTGCAACTATAAAGGATAAAATCTAAATAAAATATACCAATTTAAAATAAAATATACTGATTTAAAATTTAATTATATCCCCAGGTAGAACATGAAACTCATAATGACATCATTATGACGTCATCATGATTTTATTTATCACTTAAAAGTTACCTAAACAAAAATGATTAGAAAATGAGTTAAAGATGACAAAAAGAATCATAAATTTTTAAGTTCAATAATCGCATTATATAATTTTAAAAAGATTATGTTGCTGAAATATAATTAAAATATACATGAATAATTAAATAAACAAGCAATTGCGTAATACATATAAAAAATGATATTATTATGATTGAGTCTTAAGATTTCATACGCGAAGTATATATTCTTCAAGAGTTCGCTAGAATTGTTTAATATCAAAAATAAGTCACCAAAACATTGCCAAAAGTATATCAAATGAGATCATTATGATTTTTCTAAAATGACTTTTAGGTGACGTCATAATGATATCATTATGAATTTCATGTTCTACCTGAGGATCTTGCACATCTATTGCATTACATTTTGTGAAATGATTACCTCCATTGGATTCATTTAGACACCTATCATACGAGAACGTCGTCGATTCACGGACGTTATGGACGAGGAGATTGACGATGAAAGGAGGGAGCGTATCAATCGTTATGGATCGGCGGATACATATACGCTTAGACGTCTGAGGAATGAGTTAGGTACTCGATTGGACAGTTATGCTGAAGCCGAAGCGATAATTGGGTCAAAGAAAGAGGGTCAGTCCCCGTTCTTCCGCGAAAAACCACAAATCTGTCCGATCGAGGAGGGAAAGCCGGCACATCTCGCCTGTCTGGCAGTGGGAAATCCGAAACCACTGATACAGTGGTTTAAGAATGATGTAGTCATCCAGCAAAACAACAGGATTAAAGTGACAGAGGATGCGGAGGGGAGGTCTATACTCAGTTTTAATCCTACGAAGGAGCATGATATCGGAATATATAAGGTCGTAGCGAGGAATCCTATAGGACAAACGGTTGTTAGGACGAGGATGTTGCTAGCAATGGTGCCTTGTGGTCCGGACTCTCCAGAGGTATAATAATTGAGCGGTTTTTTAAGGATGTTTTGTATGTACAGTTCCAGCAAAAAGTAGCTGAAAATCAATATTGACGAATATATTCACTTTTGATGTATTTTGAATATGAGAAATTGTGTGGAATATTACAATTTGATCTTAGCTACAGTGCAGAAATGTATTTTTTAATATTTATTGTGTTTTTACTGAAAAATCCGAATTTTGTTAATCGAAATGATTAACTTTTGGCAGAGAATTTCGTCTCTCTAAACTTTTGCAAATTTTAAACAAATTCTGAATATTATTTCCATGTGTTTTTGTCATTTGAATCGACGTGGTTATACGTTTCCCATAAGAACACATGCTAATTCGGTGCAAATTAAAATCCTTATAACTTGTGAACGCTTTAGTGAATCGATTTAAAAATTGTACTGAAGATTCTAAACATATGTAACGACATTCTGTACAATTTTCATTAAATTCTCAATATTTTGAAAATAGGTACAAAACATCCTTAATCGAAATGATTAACTTTTAACAGAGAATTTCGCCTCGTGACAGATACATGGCTAACTTCATTGAATTATATTTAATATCTTCTTAACCAGTTAGTACTTGCATAATATTATTTGACCAAATATTTCCTCTGTATCTAAACTTTTGCAAATTTTAAACAAATTCTGAATATTATTTTCATGTGTTTTTGTCATTTGAATCGTGGTTATATGTTTCCCATAAGAACACATGTTAATTTGATGCAAATTAAAATTCTTATAACTTGTGAACGCTTTAGTGAATCGATTTAAAAATTATACTGAAGATTCTAAACATATGTAAAGACATTCTGTACAATTTTCATTAAATTTTCAATATTTTGAAAATAAGTACAAAACAGCCTTAACTTTTAGCAGAGAATTTCGCCTTGTGACAGATACATAGCTAACTTCATTAAATTATATTTAATGAATATCTTTTTAACCAGTTAGTACTTGTATAATATTATTTGACCAAATATTTCCTCTGTATTTAAACTTTTGCAAATTTTAAACAAATTCTGAATATTATTTCCATGTGTTTTTGTCATTTGAATCGACGTGGTTATACGTTTCCCATAAGAACATATGTTAATTCGGTGCAAATTAATTGTGAACGCTTTAGTGAATCGATTTAAAAATTGTACTGAAGATTCTAAACATATGCAAGGACATTCTGTACAATTTTCATTAAATTCTCAATATTTTGAGAATAGGTACAAAACATCCTTAAGAGATATGAAGTAGAATAATACTTTTCTCCATCACCTATCATGAAATATTGTCTTCGGCAACTTTTCAGGCTTCCGATGTTTCGGATACCGAAGTTCTTCTGCGATGGAAGCAGCCTAAGTATGATGGCAATTCTCCTGTATTATGCTACAATCTTCAGTATAAGGAAGGCGACTCGATCGCCTGGATAGACGTCGCTTCCAACATTGACCACGAGTTCTACCTGGTGCGTGACCTAAAGCAAGATACGAGCTACAACTTCCGCTTGGCAGCACGCAATCGCATAGGCTGGAGCGAGAAGGGTATCCCATCCAAGTTAATCAAAACGCGATTGCCGGGTTGTCCGAAGGTGCAAATCACACGGGCGATGAGGCATCTTCAAGAATTGACCGAAGCCGGACAAGAAATCGTCCTAGAAGAAGACAAGCCGCGCATGGATTACTCCGTGGAAGAGCATCCAATCGAATGGTCCACAGAGTCCAACCAACTATCTACCAAATACAGCTTCATTTCAGAGTTGTCACAAGGTCAGTTCTCCGCTGTAGTAAAGGGCGTGGATAAGAGCACGGATTGCGTGATCGTCGCCAAGATCTTGCAGTTGAAACCCGTAACGGAAGAGCAGGTGAACCGAGAATACGAGGTACTGCGCTCGTTACGACACGAGCGAATAGCCATGTTGCAGGAGGCCTACAAGACGCCCTCCGGATCTCCGATTACGGTATTCATCATGGAGAAGCTCCAGGGCGCTGACATTCTCACGTACTTCTCCAGCCGGCACGAGTACACGGAGAACTGCGTGGCGAATGCCATCACGCAGATCCTCGACGGTCTGCAATACTTGCACTGGCGTGGTTACTGTCACCTGGACATCCAGCCAGATAACATCGTCATGTCGTCCGTAAGATCGGTGCAGGTGAAGCTGGTCGACATGGGGTCCGCTTACCGAGTCAGTCGACTGGGCACGATAGTGCCTGAACAATTTGGTCACCATGAGTACAGATCGCCCGAGCTTTACAACGATGAACCGGTCTACCCGCAGACGGACATATGGATGGTCGGTGTGTTGACTTACGTGTTGCTCTCCGGGATCTCTCCCTTCGGTGGTAAAAATACGGACGAAACCAGGCAGAACATATCCTTCGTCAGATACAGATTCGAATATCTTTACAAAGAGCTCAGTCAGGAGGCTACCAGATTTCTTATGCAGGTCTTCAAACGCGCACCAAGGTTGGTAGTGTTAAGGATCTTCAATTTGTTCTATTCAAATTTCTCTTTAACCATTGCTAAACATCTCTGTTATATGTACATTGTACCTGTAACTTATATTTTCGAAATTAAATATACAAATCGATGTCGAATTTTTATAGCACAACAATAAATCTCTTTAACATTAATTTATTAAGTAAAAAATTTTTATTAAAAATTTTTTACTTAATCAATTAATGTTAAAGAGATTTATTTTACATTCAATTTTACATTTAATGTTAATTATCTAATAATAAAATGATACAATCATTAAATAAATAATTATGTTAAAAATTAAAAATTTTTAAATCTTTATTAAGTAAAAAATTTATTAAGTAAAAAGTAATTTATTAAGTAAAAAATTTTTAACAAAAATTTTTTACTTAATAAATTACTTTTTACTTAATAAATTTTTTACTTAATAAAGATTTAAAAATTTTTAATTTTTAACATAATTATTTATTTAATTATTGTATCATTTTATTATTAGATAATTAACGTTAAATGTAAAATTTGTATATGTATGAATAAGTAATAAATTATATATTTTTTGTTTTTTTAGTAAAAGACCAATGGCTGAGGAGTGTCATGAACATAGATGGCTATTACCTACAGAATATATGATTAAGAAACGTGAGAGAGCTGTGTTTTTGGGCAATAGGCTGAAGGAGTATAACGAGAAATATCATGAAGAAAAATCGAAGCTAGTTTCTGAGAGTGACATTCTAGCGAGCGAGAGTTTATTGGGCTCGAAACAGAAACTTATTAGATCGACCAGCATACAAGAAGAGCTGCTGACCACGTTCTAACGATAGACCTGCGATTTTTTATTTATATTTATGGATACACATACTCCATACAAACACATTTCTTCTCGCGTTTATGTCTGTTTCTCTGGACAGCGAGAAGAAATGATGAGAAACAGGAGGGATTCGGATCTCTTGTGTCTTCTCTTTTGTTATAATTTATTTGTTACAAGTTGTAATTATATAACAAAAATATATCGTCGTCAACCAATCGATGCTTCGCCAACAGATTTTGTTGGTGCTTGAATAAAATAATAAGTTTCTCAACCGTCCGTTAATTCGACGAGTATAACACAAATGAATTGTTACCTATACTTTTCAATGAGTCAAAGTGCAAATCGAATTTTTTGAAATTTGGCAAAAAATTTCGATTATGCGTTGTATGAAAATTATAAATAAATATTTGATGAAATAACTGTGAGGCCTTATATCTCTTTAATATCTATTTAAAATATATTGAATTTTCTATCCAGCTTCCTTATGTTTTTTTACAAAGAACATGTAAATATAACGCGATTTGATTATTAAACACCCATTTTATTTACAGATGTCCCAATGGAACATTACATCTCACATTATATTACGTCTCATAGTGAGAAAAAAACATTATTGTACATGTGATGCACTTTTATCCTCTTCGTACATTTACAATTTCTTCGTACATAATATATTTAGATTACAATTAATGTATATGAATATAATCCTTCTCTATAACAATCCGAGAATTTAATGATAAAATTCAAACACCAATAATCTCTTTCAAGCAAAAGAAGACTAGCAAAATATTAAATTGAATTAAATTATAATCTAAAGCATTTGAGCAAGTTTTTCACTCATTTACTAAAAAGAGACATGAAACCAATTCGATAAATGTACATAATTAGTCTTGCATTGTTACAATATAAATCATCTTTTTGCATATTGCATTACATAATCTTTAACTTTACTTCGAAACGATTCCTTGTCCTTTATAAACAAATCTGCTGCCTCTCTGTTTAAAGGATCATCGAAATTTAAGAGATCCTAGAAAAAATGTATTATTGTATGAAATATATGCAATATAATCCCGTTGAATTTGCCATATTGAATGCAGTAGGAAAGACTTGTATACATACAGTGAAGAGAGAATTTAAACCCCATACAACATCTTTTAATTTGCGTGTTGGTGCCCATCCTAATCCATCAATGCTACTTTGTCTTAAAATGGAAAGGCATACGTCACCATCCTCACTTATATTAGGATGCCATAATTTTGTTAAGCACTTCACTATTGGTGGCTGAAAGATGCGCAGCTTAAGATACAAAAGTATCTATATTTAACATTGCCGCACCACATAAAATTGTGGATCATAAAATTACCGCCATATTGTATTCCTCCGTTATATAAATTTGAAAATAGAAATGACCACCCATCCAATATCCTTCATCTGGTACAATTAACAATATAAATTCATGTAGACAATGTGGATCTTTAAACGTGACTTGACAAGTTACTGGCAACGTCTGTTCCATTTCTTGTACCTAAGTAAAATAATGTAAATCATATTAGTTAACATTAGTATGTAAAAAATAACAAATCTGGTTATAATAAATACCTCTTTGATCAATAATTTATCACGTATTGAAACTCGTCTATTGTTATTTTTTGAATTTGTTATATCATTATCCTTTTTCAGTTTTCCACGTAATGTAATCATATTAAGCCGCTCTCTAAAAACTTTTATTCAGAGAAAAGCAAAGCATCTTGCATTATGTCTTTTAAATTTATTTGTATGAGTATAGCTATATAAATAGGAGTTTAAATTGTATTACACAGAATAAAGAATAAAACTTACAAATTTGTCATGTACATTTATAATAAATAAACAAGAAAATTGTCACGAATTTATAACAGGTAAAAAACCGGTGAGAAATATAAAAGCAACATGCAATAATATAATTATTGATGAAACGTAAAATTTTGAAACATATCATAATTGAATTATGAATTGAACATATAACGGAATATTAGCAAAAACGCAATTATAGGCACTTGTAAAGAGTTCTTATAGGTTAGAAAAATAGCGCATATAATATTCAATGATGCTATATACCTTTCGTTGCCGAATTTAAGGAATTTCGTTTCTGTATCCCCTAAAATTCGTACGTTAAAGAGTCTGTAAAGGAGGCTTTCTCATTTCTATTTTTCTCCAGATAATTAATTTGCACGCACAATTGTAAATCATTGACAAAATCACGAACGCTAACGTACAATTCGAACTGGGTGAATGAAATATTAAAGAATGCCGTTCTTATGAAAACTGACGTAGTTTAACAAACCAATAGCATCCCTCTCGCGACGAATATTGTAACTAGAGTGGCAACAGTCAGATGGTAATGGGAAAAATGTAACAGAGAGAAGACTGAGAGATGTCATGGCCCGTTTTTAGGTGAACCCTGAAAGCGATGCACCCTCTGTTAATCTAAAAAACGTGGACATGAACTACAAAGCCAAAGTCCACAAAAGTTCTCAGAGGGTACAACATATATGTGCACAATTTCTGATTCTGTTCCGTGCTATTTAAAAAATGCTTGTAGTACACGAAATGCCTATGTATGTACACAAAATGCCATCAGTGCTGTATGGCAAAACGCATATGTATATAAATATAAATAAATTTTTAATTTTAATTTTTTGAATAAATTTTGTGGTCCTCCCTCTCTCCCTCTCTCTCTCTCTCTCTCTCTATACACATACACAAATAAACACACACACATATAATATATATATGTATATATAGTATGACGCTACAACTTTATTCTGAAATATTTGCGTTATATTTAGAAATATATATATATATATATATATATATATATATATATATATATATTCAATTTAAAACATTACATAAAATACACGCGCTGGAATTACATATATATATTCTATGTGTACATAAATACAGATATATTATCTCTTTTCGAAAGATATATTAACATTGAAAAATTTAAATATAATATATATTTAATTAATTGATTCATATCTATTTATGTCGTATCACAAAGTAAGAAGTTAAAATTTAACTTCAATCCCGAAAAATACTGTGATCTTCCACTGTAATGTTCAAAGATAAAATAAATATTTTTCTATACATTCAATGTCATATTTATATATTTTTTTACAAAAAAACAAAATGTCTGTTGTGAAATAAAAACCTTTTTCACCGTATTTCTATAAATCTTTTTAATTAGCAGTAAAATGATCTTTGATATTTATCAATCATTTTTTTTAATTATTTAAAAATGTAATTATTAATACATGTATAGAATTTGTTAAAATAATCACTGATTCTTCTGAAGCTTTTATAATTAAGATTCGAAAAATATAGATGTTCCAAAATATTTTAAATATCTCTTCCTTTATATAAAATATAAAGAATTCATATGTTCTATTCTAATATAGTCAACATTATTTATATACTTTTATTATAATTTTCTTACCAGCATAATATTTTTATGCTTAATATTTTATATAATATAATGTACTAAATTATAAAATTTAATATAATTACAAAATAGTATTATTATTAATAAATAGATTGCACACTGTCTTTTAGTTTCTAATTATTTTCAATCATTATGCATTTCATTCATCCAATATATTCTCTTCTTCGAATTCTTGGATTATTATGGTTTATTGTATTCCTTTGTGTTAAAATTATAAAAATTATCATCATTTGTCATTCCTTCCTATGGAGTCCATCGAAATACTTCCTATGGACATTTGTTCTCAGGTATAGATATTCAAATCACTGTAGTTGCCTTTTTCTCGATTATTGTCCCTTTTTCTTTCATTTTATTTAAAAATATTAATATAATTAATATAACAAATATTTATATAATTTTGGTATTTCTCTTAGTCTGACACTTCCCCTTCGACTTGCCCGGCATAAATGACTCTATCAATAATTACGGTTGGTATTCATAACTCACTTTTATATTTAAGATCATACTTAAAATTATCTTAAATATAAGAAAAGTCTATACGAATATCGGTGTATGTTACCGCCGGCATAGCTCTCAGGCTCATTAGAGTACTCAAACCTCCTCAGCCGGCAAATGTCTTCCTTAAGATGGAGATATCATCGAGAAGGCAAAATAGAATGATATAAAAAATGATATAAAATCAGCTAAATTAATCACATAATAGCCCTAACAATCCTCTACTTTTTGAAAGGAAAATTAAAAAATCTTAATGATCACCTAATAGCCCTAACAATCCTATTTCTCGATTAAGTGAAATTATTTGAGGAAAGCCTATCTCTAATCTCGTATATTTTAATTACGTGCCCTAATTACATTCTCTAACCGCATGCCCTAATCGCGTGAATAAATGTCCGACACATTATGTACTATTGTACGTAAAGCTTTTCTTCAGCCAGTTGAATTTACTTTTCGTTGATCCTGGCCATTTTCTTGCTCGATCTCTAATCAGAGATCGAAAAAGGAGATAAACACTCCTTCTTTTGCCGATTAATTACCGGCAAATGAGCGTAAATATTTCACGCTCATCGTAACGATCGCTCGATTTTACGATCGTTTCTTAAATATTTGAATATAACTTTATTTTAACTCAAATAAAGCCAAATTACTACAAATTTCTATATACTATATTTTCTAATAAAATATAAAATTCATGTATGTGTATAACTTTTATGATATTACAAATTATTTAATTAATTAATCGTTTGGCTTTATTTTAAGTTAAAGTAAAATTTAAAAACAATATCTACAAACAAATTCTACAATGGATGAGCTATGATATAAGAAATTAGAATAAAATAAGTGCGCGTTATAAGAATAAAGTAGTATCAAAAATTGATAAAATTGTTAAAATTATTAATGCGTGCTGTTGATTTAATAAACTAGACAAGTCTTTACAAAAAATTTTCTTTTCTTGATTCTCTTTTTTAAATTACTACTTCAATATATTTTCGCAATAGATGCAAAGCATTTCGAAAGAATTTATTAAAAGTTATTTAATTTAATTTATCCTAGCTCATCCATTTTAAGGCAACGGACTTACTACAATTCACAATCTACAATCTACAATATACAATCTACAATCTACATCTACAATCTCTACGAATCCGTTACCTTAAAGTTAAATAATAGTTTTTCTCACTCACCGGCACTGATGCGCAACAGCGGAGTTATCGAAGCTACGTTGTCTGTAACATATAAATATAAAATTCATTTATATTAATGCTCACAAAATGCAATCAATATTTCAAAAAATTTTTATCGTGCGGAATTTTATATCCGATGTGTAAAATAATAAGCAGAGATAAACACGTGTGGAAAAATTTTATAAAATTTTAAAACTGTTTTTTAAGAAAGTTTTTTAAAAAGTTTTATATAACTTTTATAAAAATCTTTCTCTCTAATTTTCTTTAATTCATTTAAATAATAAGATCGAATTATTATGCGTACGATTTATAACAATTGATATACAAATAATAAATATTCACCATCAGGTTGCTCCGCCGATGCAAGATGCCTCTCCCAGGCCTCCTCCTCCTCTCATGTTGTTGACGCGCGATACTTTCAACGGCACTCCCGCACTCACGAGCGATATTTTTATATCGCTATTTTCGTTATTTTACGCGCGATACTAAACGGCACTCCCGCACTACTTCGGTATTCGGATTAAAAATTTGGTCGCGCGATGTATATATTTAATATATATATACTTTCAACGACACTCCCGGTTTCGGTACGAGCGAAAATCTCATTTCATTTACGAGACTTAACTTTGAGCCAACAGGTCGGGAGTGCAACGATACAACGAGCAAAGATTAGGCCCGAACCGGAAAGAAGACGAAACGATTGAGGAATAGAAGAAAATAAAGTTCACCAGCTCTTTTTCGCGCATAATTATCCTATCTCGTATCGAACCTGGACCCGCTAAGCATGATTTCAGGTGCTTCGCCCGGAACACGAAGTTTCCCGCAATGCAGGATATGGCTACACCAGGCTGGTAGACGGCAAAAGAAGAGGATACCCACATTTTTTAAATGCTAACATTCAGCAATTTAAAAAATGGGGAGGCAACCCCTTTTACCGAGCGAAAATCATGCTTAGGGGAATCCACTCGACTCCTCGACAGGGTTAACACACGCAGTGCGTGTGGCTGTAGGGTAGACGAGCAAAGAGAAGGGACTCATTGACGACCATTCCGAGCAATCGATCGAGTTCTAACTAATTCGGACCGAATCATTTGACGAAGTACGAAGCACGAAGCGCGAGTGTACGTTGCATAACAACATGTGCAAACTCGAAACATCCCAGTTAGTTGGCATCGGAAGTAGAGACTCGTGACAATAAATGAAATTGGGATTTTATATGAAAAAGTCCAAAATTTCCGCGAAAACGCGACGACGCGAGAATACTACAACGCGAAAACGCGGTTACAAAGCGCAGCCGTCCGCGGCACGTTGACGGCACCGACGAAGCGAAAGGGTACTTCGCTTCCCTTTCAGGCACCATAAGATTTATCGTAAATAGAAAAATTTAAAATAAATCTCAAGGAACCATCCAAGTACTAAGCCCTCCCACCACGACAAGGTGTACCCCATGGGAGGGTTATATCATATATAACTTTTTTTATATATAATATAATATATACAATTGCAGCATTTATTTTGCAATATAGTATATAAATTTAAATTTGCATAATAAGACCGTAAAACAAAATCATTAAGGCGGTACTGTTTATATCGGATACTGTATTGTTGTTAATTCATCGTTGAAATATTTTAACATATTAATGTATTTCATATATCTAACATATTAATGTATCGTAAGATTAAAAGATTAAAATAATTACATGTTGTGATACATAACTTGTTTAATTAATAAGGATTTAATTAACAAGGAGAATTTTTAAAGTATTGGTCAAAATATAGTTAATTCTAATATTGTTAAAGAAATATTATAATAAGCATTAATGATCGATATTATAACATAATTAATTTTCTTATCCCCTTTTACGTATCCCATGTTTCAATTTTTATTCCCAGTAATGAATAATTGCGATTCCATAAAGATCGTTGCAGTACTATTTCATGTCGCTAATTAATTTTCAATTAATTAATTTTTGTTAATATTTATAGCAAATTATGTTTTGATATTAATCGTAATCGTGTTTAATAAAAAAAATTACATTATACGAAGCGTTTCTTACCACTACTTTATTACTCGAGAGTCACCGTGCGAATAATTACAAAACGGCAATGTATAG